CCTTAATCCAATAGAGCATTTGTGGCATCACGAGCACTCCTACCTTCGTGCTGCCAATCTACCCCCTCGCAATGTGAGGGAATGGCAGGACCAGTTGGTGAGCGCTTGGTACCAGATACCTCAGACTACCTATTAGCACCTTGTGGAATCAATGCCACGGCGGGTGCTAGCAGGTTTGAGGGCTAAAGAAGGTCCTACATGTTATTAGCAGGGTAGTCATAATGTAATGGCTCTTCGGTGCATACATTTATAGGTAGGTACATTATTTACGTCGCACTATAGCTGCATAATGGGTTATTGCCGACTGTCTGGGAAACATCCCTATGATCCGAAGACATCCCTACTTTGGTTGCCTGACGTCTTGCTCACGAAGTCAAGCACTTTACTGTAGAACAGTTTAACGAGGACTGATACCGCGTACTCTTGGTCCCTACGTGGACTGATCAAAGTGGTCACCCAAACGTTTACTGACCGCAGGCAGTGATGCTTGACTCCGGTGTTCTATTGGGAACAGTGTTTTACGATCATTTGACTGCGGGACATGTTCATTCATAATATTAATACTTGAACTGAGATCAACGTCCACTCCTTATTTATGACTAAAGTGGTAGATAACAGAATGAAAAAAATATGCTTCACCACTTTTTTTATATGGGTATTTTTCATAAAGATACCACTCTTTGTTGTTGGACGTAAATGGTTTAAGACAGGGATCGGCAAACTTTTTAGGTCGAGGGCCAAAAATCAAAAAAGAAAAGTTTGGTGGGCAATGTAAAAATTTCTAAAATAAAGAAACAATATATAAGTTCTAATTTAAATATTTAATGAAATGAATAAAGTGCGATCTCACTTTTAAAAGTTCCTTATATTGAGGTTCGAAGTGAGATGCACTTATTTTAAGGAACGAAGCTAAATGTTAGTCTACTTCTGAAATTATTTTTTCTAAGGTTCGTAGTCCCGCAGTGGACTGATCGTTAAGACACGGTTCCCAGCAGATCACCGAAGTCAAGCATCACTGGCTACGGTCAGTGTGCGGGTGGGTGACCACTTGGATCAGTCTGCGTAAGGACCGAGGGTGTGCGGTATTGGTCCTCGTTAAACTGTGCTACCGTAAAGTGCTCGACTTCGCGCGCAGGTCGTCGGGCTACCGAAGCGGGGGTGCCATCCCCTCTGCAGAGGATCAAAATTGTGATGGCATGTCTTCGGATCATCCTCCGGGATGTTTCCCAGACCGTCGCCAATAGCCCATTGTGCAACTCTAGTGCGACGTAAATTAACAACAACAACAAATCTAAGGTTCGTAGTTGAAAATACTTGTTCACACATATAAGATGAATCAAACATAGCTTTGATTTTCTGACATGAGTTATTAAATTTAGGGAACTAGCTTGGGGAACTTGGTAAAACTCAAACTTCGGCACATTTAGAAACAACTGCTTCAGATGATTGTTAGATTGCAACGCAATTAATTCAAGCTGCAAATCCGACCTCACTGTTTCACAATTTACGGTGACAGGCATGGTAAAAATATCTAATTCTGTTTGAATGGCACTGAAATATTGATACCTGTAACTAAGAATGGAGTTTTTTCAAGCCATCCTCATAATTCTTAAGCTTTTCCTTACATACTGAGAGTATTGAATTTAACCTCGGGAAATGAGACAAGTCGTTCTTAGTTAGCTGCCTGGCAAACAAATTAAGCTTCAGTTTTAAAGCTTTGAGATGGGCCCTGACATCATCAATGAATTGATTTTTCCCTTGCATCTTAACATTCAAGTTGTTTATATGACAAAGAAGATCTGTGAAAAATGCCCTTCTGTATCTTCGAATATAAAATAGATGTATAAATAGTATATTGTTTGTATTCGCAACTCATCGGCAAGTTAAAATTCTAGCCGCGGGCCGGATAAAATCTTCCATCGGGCCAGAGTTGGCCCGGGGGATGTAGTTTGCCCATCCCTGGTTTAAGAATTCTAAAGAGAAGCTTAAAAATTCTTTTTATCGCGACGCTACGACAATGTTAAGTAAGAAATCAGACGAGAAACGTACTTTGGATAAATGAACATTACTTAAAAATAAATATTTTAAGCATTAAAATATTGCTTAAAACGAAGATAGATGAAATTTTTAAAGAGAATTATTCATATGGTTCAGTCAGAAGCACGGTCAAAAGTTTTAATTTCCTGATATTATTTTTAAATGAAATGTATTTCACCATATGTCTATACCAGCGACTAAAAGTAAGTTGAATTATTATTATTCATTTTTTTTTAAAAATAATCCTTCGTTTGGAATTTATTTATTAATTATCCGCATATATATGCAGGCTTGTGCGTTGATTAAAAAGTATTAGCAAATGAAAAATTGCGCATCACAAGGATTCATCAGGCTACTTATACGCTCCATTCCCATGCTATTCGGGACTGCTTAGTGGACGAAACCACTAAGCCAGGTCTTTAGTGCTAATGTTAAAGTTATTAATGGGAAATATAAATCCTTAATAAGGATACCATTCTAATCTTCCACTTCCTCTCTCTCTCTTTATTTTATATATACATAAAAAAAAAAAAAAAAANAAAAAAAAAAAAAAAAAAAAAAAAAAAAAAAAAAAAATTTATTAAAAAGAAGAAAAAAAATGCGACGAGACACGAGTAAGTTAATCAAACTGAAAATGAAATGTTAGTGTAAAAAGTTTGCTACCTTTTTAAATATTCAAGATAAATCTTTCACTAAAGATGGAAGAAATTGACAGTAACTAACTGAAAAAAAAAGCTTTGATTCAGCATTTTTCTATTTATCCAAGAATTGTCAGGTATAGTAAAATCGTGTCCAAAACTTTCCACGCACGGGAAAATGAAATGTAAGGTTTGTAAATATTTGTTTAGCTAGTTAATATGAATTATAGTGAACTCTCACTTATGCACCGGTGTAAGGGGCCAAGAGAAAAAAGCGCATAAGTGAAAGAGGCGCATAAGTGAAAAACTTCAAAATTCTAAAACGCAACTTAAATTGCAGTGACAATATGAATAAATATGTTTCTAAGGAATAAATGCTAATATTTATACTGTTTTGGTATTTACTATAATTATACAAAGAAAAAATTGAACATACCTTAAGACAATTTATTTTCTTACAAAATAATCTTAATACATGTTTGTATTTGTTTTTGCCGACGTTATTCAGAAACAGTTTTTTCCAGTTCATATAAATGGGATAAGGGGGAGTTTCAGAAGCACAATTAAATTGTAAATAGTCAGGAATAGTGTCTAAAGCTTTCAATACTGCTGTGTGATTTGGAAGAACTTTATCATCTCGTCAGTATCATTCACCACGTTCTCATCGTTCACAAGTTTCAGTTAGATATAAATGAACAGTTCTTCACAAAAAATTTGAGTTTTATGGGAGGGGGTGAAACATCACGTGATAAATTTCTAAGAAAAGTACTTGACGTCATAAAATGCTGCACAATAAGTTGTTCAAGTACTTCTGTCACTAAACAGATCACCTCCTTTTATTTACTAATAATGTCCATCTGACTGCAAGTAAGTGATCGCGGCCTCTTTCATCTTTCGTATTCCAGGTGTCTTTTTTTTCTTCTAGAAAACAGCATGGGAGTAAAACTAACCTCTGGACAAGAGGAAGAACGGTCATTTTCTAAAAGATGAATGGGCTTTCATTGTTGTTGGTGTAACATATAAGACACCCTATTCAAAATTCTAAAAAGAATGTCTTTCCAGAAACAGCAAAAATGAAAAGGACACAGGGGGAGGCAAATTCAATAGGATCTAACAACATATTTTTTTTTTATCTGTAACAAGGATTGCTTATTTGCTTCATTTTTGATTTAAAACATTTTCTTTTAAAGAAAAAATATTTAAAGGATTAAAAAATTAAAATGTTAGCATAAAATTTCGGCGCATAATTGAAAAATTTATTTTTAGAGCAACGTATAAACGAAGGATGTTTATCATTATTTTCCCATCTAATGTACTGGGACCTATAAAATTCGTCGTATAAATGAAAAAGGTGCATGAAAGAGGTGGTGTATAAGTGAGTGGTCACTGTATTAATATAGCAAGTAATTTTTTTCTTTCAGGAATATATAAGTTATACGAATTTTTTTTTCCTTTGTACTCGCTATCTAAACTTTTATTGCTTGGCCAAAAAGGGGAAAATGCAGTCTGTATAAAAGGGTATTTCTTAATTTTAAAAATTATCTTCTTTTAGGTTAATAATTGAAAATGTTAAAAATTCAATTTAAAAGCTGTATTTTATATATTTTTTGCCATTTGTGTAGTCAAAACGCAATTCAGCCATATTTTCTTTCTTTCAATGCCTGAAAAAAAATGCAATTACAAAATTCTCCTGCCATCACTTTTTGAAATTATAGGGGTAAGATTGAACAAGATAAGTGAGTAACTGAAAAGAGGCAGTGTATGCTGCACTTAATAATAAAATTACGAGCATTTGTTTCATTTTGTTACTTAAAATTTTATTTTTTGTTATTTTTACTTCTTTTATGTAACCCGTTAAAATCCAAGCTTACTCTGAAAATTGCAATAAAAAATCCTATCTAGTGACTTTTGCTTCAATTTAAAAATTCGAAAGCTTTAGATACTCAATGTAAATCCACCCTCTTTTTAAAAACAAGGATAAAACTTGAAAATTTGAATTTTTTGAGATTTTTTTTCTTTAGACATTCTACATTTATTTTTTTTTTTCATTATCAAATTCTAAACTCAATTCTTTTAGGTACATTTTCAAAAAGATATGCTAAAAATGAAAAACGTGATTTATAAGAGCGTTTTTTTTATTATTTTTTTTTAATGAAATCAAAAAAGTTAAGTGGTGCAATTTTGCCTCCAACTGGATGCCATGTGTATAAAGTTCTAGTAAGAATGTACCTGAAAAGCAGAATGTAGCTTTTTGAATATTTTGATTGGATAGCACTGGAAAAACAGAAAAAGATTTTTTGAGTGCGCCGCGCTACCTGGTTTTGATTATCAAAGTAAATTACAACTCGAATTGCATGTTTTGAATTTGTGACGTATTCACTCTTTAAAGTTGTCGACGTGATTTAATGTAGAAAATCCATTGATTCGCTGAGGCCAGCCAAGAACTCTAGTGAGGACATTTACGTAAACAAACACGCCGACCTGACTGCTGATTACTATTCGTTTTCCTCAATAAACCCAGTTGATATGTTTGTGATTATGTGATTCAAATTGCGAAACTTTTGGGCTGTTTTAGAGAGTGCTTTGATGGTCTTACTGTACTAGAGTGAAAAAGAAAAGCTTACCTGAAGAATATACAATATGACACATTCGGGTAATTTTTATTTTTATTTCATCCCCCTCCCCTGTGGAAGTAAACAGATTTCGCTGTTTGATCGCTATATGAGGAAGTTTTCTCGAAAAATCTATTTGAATTTGTTATTTTTAATCGGATTTTATTTGCATTTTATTAAATAAATGAAGAACATAGTGGAAAAACATTTTTAGGGACATTGTTCCTGAATTTGAGAAAATCAGTTTTTCAATGTACGGCACATTGGGGTGACATTATTCTTTGATCCCGACTCCTGTTGAATTAAGTACGTTTTACTGCTTGATCCCTTCATTAGGAAAGCTTCCTTCGATAAATATACTTGAAATTTTTTACTTTTTATTTGCGTATTCTTAAAAATTTGAAGAATATAATGGAAAAACACCTTAGGTGACATTTTTCATAAATTTGGGAAAAATCTGAATTTTTAATGTATTGAAGTAACAGGATGATCTTAATAAATTACAGTTCCTTATTGCTTATTAGTTACATTTATACATGTTATTTTTGCATAAATAAATATTCATACATTGCATAAAAACATAATTAAATATCCATACATTGTATATATATACATAATTTTCATTCACTCTATATTTTAAGAACATTGAATTTTTTTGATGTTTTCATTGTTTAGGAGTTTTATTCACTCATGTTATTTATACATAAATAAATGATTTGTACATTGTATGTATGCCTTATATCCATACATTGTATAGAAATAACATGTTATTATTTCTCTACAACATAGAGAAATGTCCATATAGAAGTAACAAGGTCATTACATTTGTCACTTGACAATTATATTGTTAGTTAACCATATTTTCATTATTCATTATATCAGCATTTTCGTATCATTAGTTATTAACTACATACAAATCACATTTTATATATTAGTCTTGATCATTTCATTAATATATAATATCATAGTTATCATTATTGAAGAGCTTTATGCCAAAAAGAAAAAAAAACTGATATAGGGCTTAAATGAATTAAAATGAAAATAAGAAATTTAGCTTTAGAATACATTGTAGCATCATGAATATGTTTACAAAACATCTCATTCGATTTGTAGATAACTTTTTTTTAAATACTTCATTGAAAAAGTTTATCCTAAGGGTTAGTGGTGCACTATTTTTTCCCTAAGGAAGGCCAATAGGCTAATAAGTTATCTTTAGAGGTTTTAAGCTATGCAACATTAATGTCAAATCAAAAACAATTAATTTACTTACATTAAATGAACCAAATTAAATTTATTAAATTTTCTGAAAATACATAGCTATCTTGAGAGTTCTTGTTCAATTCAAGCTATTGAAGTATATCTATATGTCACATCATGTTCATTTACATACTCCTCTATAGCATGTATTTAGAATAACATATTAAAATGGTTATCAAATCAAAATATAGCTTAGAATGATTAAAATTATGATTCCTCAGAGTTCTCCCTAGGAATAAAAAAGGGCAGGGTGCTTCCTCACATTAAAGGGCACTTTGAGTTTTGAAAAGGCATTCACTTACCACCTTTAAAATTTAATGAAATATGTAATATTATGTAATAACTGATTTTGATCCCCTATTTTTAAATTACTATATGAATGTGTATATTTCACAAAGGAATTCTCACTCATTATCAAAATAACAGAAGAATTTGAAGTTTATGAAAAATAATTAAAGGCAAGCTAAAAGACAATCTTTGTGCATAAATTTTCTTCAAAAAAAAAAAAAAAAAAAANAGAAAAAAAAAGGAAGAAAAAAAAAAGGCTTAATTGATGAATAACTTTAAAGCTTTTTTTATATTTTGAGCTAAAAATTATAAGAAAATAAGCATTTAAAAATGCATTTTTAAATAAAATGTATTAATTTAAAAAAAATAAAGGTAATATTTAAATTTACTATAAAATTCATTAATGTACCCCTACCACACTCATAGTTTAAGGATGTAAATATCTCTGGGGCTATATCTGTTATGAAAACTTTATCTATATTGCTAGACAACACAAGATAAATCTTACTAAAATGAACGAATAAAATTAAAAAATAAATAATTATCAGTAACTGAATAAATTAGAAGTGGATTTTGAAAAAAAAACCTTTTCCTGAAAAAACAAAAACAGAGACACAGTTTTTAAGGTATTATTTTAACAAAAAGGGCAAGGAGGGTGCATTTATAGGTATCAACATTTTTAGAAGGGTGAGTCACAGTACCGTCTTTACGCATGGGCACACCCGGCCAGTTCCCGGGGTCCCTTGAGAATCTTAATTTGTATAAGTTGTATTAAAAATAAAGCTAATAATAGGCAACATTGCCTTATGTATTTTTCGAAATAAATATTGTATAAAGTGTGCATTTTTTTTTTACAAATAGTAATTAATTATCACGTAAACACCAATAATTTGATTAGTTTATCACCAAGAAAACTTAAAAAGGCAACCAAAAATTCGCGAAAAGTTTAGGTACTTGGGCGTTGAAAGATGAAAGATGTTTTAACAACAGTTTAGTTTGACAAACTTACTTACTTACTTACTTACTTATCCTTTACGTGCCTTGGGCACTTAAGGCCTCCAGCATATCCCTCCAACGCCTCCTGTCTTTAGCAATTGATCAAACTAATTCATATCTTTTGATTTTTTTTTATTTATGCCTTTATGTGTATTTAATTTGAATTAACTTCCTTAGTTTTGAAAACTATTTAATTATTTGAGGATTACACTGGTTAACATCTAATTTTTTTTTATTTTTAAATATGCATAGCTTTATTTGAATTTTTGGGGTAATCATAATGTGTTTAAATTTGTTAAAATTATTGCATCATATCTTAAAAATGATTTATTTTATGTATGCAAAGTTTTTTAGTTCGCTTTTAAACATGCTTATGTATGCTTTAGGGGGTCAAAAACATTTTTGTGCCCGGAGTTCTTGCATACCATTAAGACAGTCCTGGCGAGTAACCCTTCTAAAAATGCTTAGGAAGAACACTGATTCCTAATAGGAAAAATTTTCTTAGATACATATATTTTTATGTGTTTCAACAAAACTGATTATCTTGCTAAATTAGTTTAAAAAAGCATGTTTTGTAGTTTTTTCATTTGAAAAAGTTTTTTTTCTTTAAGTGGTAAAAGCTCTTTTGTTCTGCCATCAAATTGTGTTTCATTATGTAGGCAAAGGGCTATTTTTTCATTCAAAACAATATTCGACTTCTGATAGTAAGTTTCAGATAGTCTTAGTTGGGAAAATGGAATTCTTTCTATATGTGCCATTTGAGCCGCAATGGTTCAGGGTATAGAGCGTTCGCCTTCCGATGAGGCGAACCAGGTTTGAATCCCAGCAATGGATGGTCGATAGGAATTCTGCATCCAGCTTGCACCGACCGCAGTGCTGACTCGAACTATCCTCAGTGGAAGATGGATAATGGGTTAGAGTCCCCTTGCCATCAGGCTAACCATGGGAGGTTCTCGTGGTCTACCTCTCCATGTAACGCAAATACGGGTTAGTTTCATCAAAAAGTCCTTCGCAAAGGTAAATTTCTCTTAATACTTGATCAAGGAGTTCCCAAGTCTTCTGTGTTGGGTTCAAGATTTCCGGACTACGAATGTAGTTGAACATTCGTAGTCATAAACCACCCCCTAAATTGGGTCGGTTGTTCAATGACGGATATAAAATGAAATATAAGTGCCGTTTTTTTTTTAATTTGGAAGAAAAAAAAAGAGGACAATGTCATAAATTTTTTCTTTTATATGTGCAATAAATTCATAGTATTTAACCTTTAATATTTTTTTAATAATATGTTTTTAAAATTTTTTTTTATATTACATTAAATATTGGATTTGTTTGTTCTGAACTAACCTTTTTATTTTTAGGCAACCCATTTAACCATCTCTTGAAGACCTTCAACTTGGATGGCAGTGAATATAAATATTATGATTTATTGTCTTTAAAAGACCCCAAATATGGTATAGTTGATTTAATTTTTGTTTCTTTCTCTCAACTGTTGTTTGTTTTACTTTGTTAGTTAATATTTTTCTATTTTTAGAATTTTAATGTAACACCTCGCATTGCTTTGACAGTATTAATTTAAACTGAAAAATGGTAGGGATATCAAACATATTTATAAGCCTCTCTAAATATTTAAATACATTTGTTTTAAAAGCTATTCATAAATTTTTTTTTAAAGAAGAATAAAATAAATATTTTATAAATAATTAAGTACTCTAAAATTTTAGTAATTGTATTAATTTATTAGTAATTTTTCATAGATGGACATGTTATAATTTTTTATTTTTATACCAAAATTTCTTAATTCTCCTAAAGATATCCTGTAGGCAAATCTGAGTTGTATTGTTTCTTTAATGGAATTTTTTTGTCACTTTTAACTCAAAAATTAATAAGTACAAATTGTAAAATTTTCCTTCAAATAGAAACATTTTTTTTAGTCTTTTTCTCATTTCAGCTAAGTGTGAAATTAGGTTCAAATGATTGGTTAATGCTTAAAATAAGCCTGGCCAACTCAAAAGACATTAATTTAGCAAATAATCAAAAAAGTAAAATTTGAATCTCAAATGATGTGATTTTAAATATTTTTTTTTATGTTTATATATGTATTCATCTGAATATATTGAATATTCACCCTTATGTACTGAAATGTATATTATATAGTATAAAAATTTGAATATAATGCATTATTTTAATATAACAATGAACACTTATGACTACACTTAAATGAATTTAACTATGATAATCAATACTGATGCATAATTTTTCTGAAATTAAAATCTGAATTTAAAACTGACACATTCACAAATACGTGACTGTTGTATAAACTTAAATCAGTGTTTTATCTGTTTTTGTTTTCTTTAATATAGTTTTCTGAAATCAATATCAAAATACCAAAACTAGAATTTATTATATTCCATGTTTTTGAAATTTATTGGAAGAAGAAGAACGTTGAAACATTGCTATTTAATGATGAAATTAATTTTGCAGAGAAATTGCCCTTCTCCATACGTGTATTACTTGAAGCAGCTGTTCGGTGTTGTGATAACTTTCAAGTGAAAGAAGTTGATGTTCAAAATATCCTTAATTGGGAAACTTTGCAGTTTGCAGAAGGAGGTGTAGATGTTGCATTCAATCCAGCACGAGTTATTCTTCAGGATTTCACGTGAGGAATTTCTCTATTTTTATGTAATGGTGTTTCTAAACCAGATATGTGAAAAACCTGTGTTTTTTCCCCCCAGAGGTTTTCCATTATCGTTTTTTTTATTTTTTTATCAGGGTTTTATAGAGCTTTTTCAGAGTTGAGTTTTTCATCATTTTTTGAATTTTTTTATAGTCTTAGAGTAAGTCTTGCTGCATTAATAAATACCATTAATTTAATTAATACCATTAGCTTAATTAATAATTAAACTCTTCAGAACCTTAATTATTAATGCATTTCACTATCAATGTAATTTGCATTGATAAATTAGGAATAATATTTTTTTTTACAGTAATAGTTTAATTACTTTCGTAGGATTAACTTATTCTTTTTTAGAAATATAAAGCAATATTGAAGTATTTATTTAAATTTTGAAAGATATCAATTTTCATAGTAAATTTTTAATGTGAAAGTTATATTTATGCACTTGTGCATTGCATTACTTAGCCAACTGTGTTATTATGTCCGATATTACGTACAGTGAAAGAGTGCTTCTACATTGAGCCCAAGTATTTCAACAACAAAAAATACATTATAATAGCGATTCTAGAACAAGTATTTTACCAGTTAAAAGGAGAAAGGTGCTGTGTATTTAAAGCATCATCTGTAACTACACTCATAATGAAGTGCGGAAAATAATATTCAAACTATAACTGCAATTTTAATAGTATTGTGAAGTAGCATCTCAAATTTTTGTGAGGAATTCCTTAGTACGTTATTTGCAATTTCTAATACTATATTTTTTTAAATGGGTTAATTAAAAATTATAAAGCATAGAATATAGAAAAAAACGGAAATATTTAAATTAATTGTATTGTAAACTTATTATTTATCGGTGATTTGTTAAAAATAAAATGCAATTATGCAAAAACCTACTCCGGTGTTTTCAGGTGAATTTTTTCGGGTCAGGTAGAATCATACTGTACTAGACTTTAGAGTTCTTTATTTTTTTTATTTTTTTTTTTTTTTTACTAGTCTCTAGAATTCTCTTTGCAATAATTTTTAAAGAATAGTATTATTTTCTGCAAGAATGTCTTAAAATAAGTCTGGCAAAATCTGAAGAGAAAAAATGTTGCTGTTGTTAATGTAAATTTTTATAAGAATAAGTGATGTTCCATGTTAGCTTCTTTTAAAAATGATTTTATATTAAAATTGTTTTTAAAAAATTATAGTTATTTAATTGTTGGTACACTGATACTACCTATCTTAATATAATAACGTCCTAGAAAAGCTTCCAAGTAAAATCTAAGATTCCTACCTTAAGTTACAAGAAGTATGTTTAAGTCTTATATCTAAAATTTCAAGTAACGTTACTTGATATTACATGAGTAAAAGTTACAATTAAAATCTAAGATACCTAAAGTTAAAGCTAAATCTAAGATATATTAAGTTTCTTTAAAACATTAAAAGCATACTTTTCCAAGCCTACCCATAATTTTCAAAACTTAGTTGTTGATTTTAATTAAAGATCATTGAGAATTATTTAGTATTTTACTGGATTATTACTTTCATAGATTTCAATTTAGAAAGGTAGACAATAATTGTCAATTGAGTTAAGAAAATTGAGTTCAGTTTAGAAAATTGTTCTTCTACATTAAAAAAGTATTGGAGCATTGTCCCTGTCTCATTACACCACCTAATTATTTGTGCTGTATTGATTTTACTTATATTATTTCAGAGGCTTGCCATGTGTGGCGGACTTTGCAGCAATGCGGGATGTGGTACAGAAACTTGGTGGTAATCCAGAAAAAGTTAACCCTTTGTGCCCTGCTGACCTTGTTATAGATCATTCGGTTCAAGTGGACTTTTATGAAAGGTATAACCTCTTTTTGAGTTAAATCAATGATTTAAAAAAAAATAATTTTATTTCAAGTTTTGCATGCTCATTTCACTTGCTTGCCATTAGCTTTATTTATTTATTTATTTTCTTTTTTAAATTATAAATACAAATTTCCGTTAAGAGTTTAAAATTGTAATAGCTTGTTTAGAAGTATTTTCTGTAGTTTTAATCTTACTTATTTATGTTTGATTGCTTTAAAAGTTTGCAACTTGCATGTTTTTGCTATGTTTGTTTGGAATGTGTTAAAACACCAAATAACTGTTAATTTGCTTTTGCATTGTTGTATTTCCTGTTTCAAAATTCAGTTAGGGGCCATTCTAATATTATCTAAGCACCTAATTGGGGGCTTATGATTTGTGAAGTTTAGCTGTTAAAGGGAAGAAAGAGTATAAGCAATGTTTTCATCACACATTAAAATGCCCTCATTTTCAAAATTTTTTTAAAAAGCAAAATAAAAAATTTAGTAGGAAATTATGCTTGGAAAAATTTGAAATAGGGAATAAAAATTCAACTCGGGAATAGAGCAAATTAAAAAAAAAAGAATTATTTGAAGAGTTTTAGAGGTCAACAGTTTTGAATACAAAAGGAAAACACAAAAGCTTCTTAAATTCTGAATATTCTAGTCAGCATTTTTATTAAAATTTAATTCTGAAATTTACTATAGTAAAAAAAAAGAAGCTAAAAGCCGGAGATTACTACAGTAAAAAAAAGAAGAAAAAAAACTAAAACCAGGGGAGGGGGTGCAACTTCCTTACATTAGCTTGGGAAAAAGTTTGGTATTTACTTATTTTTACTGACAAGAAGGAAGGGGTCTAAAATTGCCAAAAATAAGCTATTTAAGCAGCCCCTTACTTAATAATTCAATACATTCATAAATAATGTGTTCTGTCTTCACCATATGTTGCTATGGAAATAAGAAATAACGCATTTCAAAGAGGAGAACTTTTCTTCCCTGATTTCCTTTTTCTCAACAACCTGATCAAAAAGCTATAGTAAATATTGACCTATCATCCCTATTTGAAATGTTAAGCTGTTAAACCTCATAATAGTCACCATTGCTACTCCAGAAGAATGGCAAGGGGAGTTCTTTCCATAGACAGACTATACATTTACCAGTAGCACATAGTTTTTACTTATACCCAGTCTCTTTACGTGTTGCTTCATTAATTTTCATAAGTATCACTCTTTTCTTATATTTTCACGCATAACTTACATTTTTTCCTAATTTACTCCATAGTTTTGATGTATAAAAATAAAACTTCATAGTTTGTTGGTAAATCTGCAAATAGCATTACTTGGTTATTTCTTTAGGATGTTATTCTTTATTTCATGTGAAATTTATCTCATCCATTTTGTATGTAGTAATGACGTAAACTGATATATATGATGTATGATGATCTTAGCATTGACAATCTGTTAAAAATGTATTGCTTTTTCTGTCAAATAAATTAAATCATCATAATTTATAAATAGATTAGTTAGTAAATTTTTTTATAAAAGTGTCTTACTTAATTCTTAGTTTGAATTTTTTATAATTAATTCTCTGCTTTGTTATTCTATCTTGACTGCTTTCATACTGGGATGCCAACTTCTGCTCATTTTCTGTAGTTTCTGCTGATTTAAATTGTGATGTTCTTTTACCTTCCTGCAAAAAAGAAAAAAAAAAGTTTTTTTTGGTTTTGTTTAAATCTCAGTTCACATTTCATTTTTCACCAAATATTATCATTCTTTTCAACATCAGTATGTGTTTGTAATTATAAATAATATTTTTCACAGTTTCATATTTTTTAGTGCATTAGAAGTGGCCTGCATAATTTTTATCCTGAATTGCACATCTGTATCAATGTTAGTTAATGAAAATTTAGCAGGGTGAATTAAATACAATTGCTAGCTTTAGAGTTTTACTTTGGGTACATAATCAGTAAATATTACTCTGAATTAAAGAACTTTTTTATTTCTTATGTATTGTCCTCAATTTAAATACTACAAACACAAATTTTTATATTTCTCTCGAAAAAATGAAAATTGCATTTTGTTTCCTTAATTTCTAATATTTATATATTAAAGATATATAGCTATGTCTTAAATCAATGTAAATTTCAACAGTATTTTATTATATCCGTAAATAAGTTTTTTTGTAACAAAATAAAACCGTTTGGTTCCCTGCGCAATTTGAAAACATATTTAAATATTACTGTTCAGTAAAACAACTGTCATTAATGTAGGAAATTTTAAAAACCACATTGAATATTTTTTTTAAAATTTTTTTATTTTATTTGAAAGAATATTTTTTTCCATATATTCTAAGTTTTAAAGATTATCTCTTTTTAAATAAGCACAACTATTCCATGTAACTAGTTTGGCTATATTTAAGTGTATTCTGTTTGAACATTTTTCTCAAACTAATATTATATGTTGCCACCATTTATATAGTTTTATTACTGAAATCTTTGCCTGATTTTTTTTAAACAACTTATCATTCAATTGTTTCTATTAGTGGTCATTCTGTACTGATTTAGAGAAGATTTTTCTAAATGCAATAATTCCATATTATACTAACATTCAGATATATCTTTCCCTTTTCATCTCTCCCACCACCACTACCTAAAAAAAGAAAAAAATATTTTCTATGTCTCAAAATTCAGGATACGCATTAGCATTTTTTCCTAATGAAAAAATTATAAGTTTTTTTTTCTCATTTTTTTTTAATTACAATTTAAAATGTGATAATGTTACTCAGCTCATTGCACTTGACCATCGATATATTTTTGCTTATGGATAACAAAAGGTTTTTAAATTAACCTTACATCAAAATTTTTTTCAAGACTGCACATGATAAAGTAACAAAAATAAGTGTAATTATTATCAAACTTGTTTCAATAAACTGGGTGCACATAAACAAGTAAGGTATTTTGAGCCCACCGCCTGTGATGTACTGGTAGTGTATGAAAAAAAATTTTTTATTATATGCACATACCATATAAAGAATGAGTTTTAATTTCATTCTGTACTAGTTTCAAATGATATTTTCATTATTTTTTAATATTTGTTGTTATTTTTTTCCTTTCTTGCTCACTGTCAAGCACACACTTTAAGAATATTATTTAGATCATCTTAAACTCATTTAGAAAAGTAATTTTTTTTTCTTCCTAAATATATAATAGACTAAATAATTTGTCCTGAACTTTGTCATTTTGTGCATTAAAAAAAGGACTGTTAAATTTATACTTAAAATATTTTTTACATCAATCAGGGTGTGTAGCGTTTTTAATGAGTGCTTAAAGGTGCTTATTTTAGATTTACGTTTTTTAAAAGCCCTTAAGAGTGCTTTTTTTATTCGGGGTTTGTAAAAAGTGCTTAATTGTATATCTTTTAAAAAGAGATTTTTTCTTCGACGTCATTCTAAATTGCAAAAAACGCACGATTTTCGCAATTTTCTCTGCAACATTTATCAGAAACTAGTTATTTTTGAATTTTATTGATTTTATGTTTATAAATTATGAACTTTAAATGGTATAAAAATTTTTTTTTATTGCTGCACAGATCCTAATTATGATTTTTTTTGGAAAGTGATTAAAATTTTTTTTTGAGTACTTAAAAGGAGCTTATTTTTTTTTGAAAAATCTGGCTGCGCACCGTAGTCAAGCACACTTTAAAAGTGCTAAGCCAATGTTTAGGTAATCCTAAACTCATTCTGAAAAGACATTTTTTTAAAAAAAATATGTAATGCACTAAATAATTTATCCTGAACATTTTCATTTTGTGCATCAGTCTTATATTTTGAGGACTATTAAATTTAGACTTAAAATATTTTTTTTTATATCAATGATAAAGCTAAATTTTAGATGATTGTGTCATTTAGATATTAAAATGAAACTACAGAAATTCCTGCATTTGCTTTGTCTCTGAAGCTTGGCATCCTTCATCTTTTGAACATCTACTTTCACTTCACATCCTTTATTTCCACCCTTTCAGCACTCTCCGTGACAGCCCTAACCCTGGTGGTGGGAGCAGAGATGCGGCTGGAAAGTTTCATATCGCAAAGCAAGAAAGTGAATCCCTCTCTTCCAGAATTAATTGTTGCTCAAAAAATATCACTACCGAGCGATCTGCCTCGCTCGCATTTAAATTTAAAAGTTCTGAAAGCGAATGTACGAGAACGTGGAGGAAAGAGTCTAACAGCCAACCTAGTTTATCTCGTTTTAAAAGAGAACTGTCTAATCCCAATGTATCACCTCATCCTCCCAATCAGCCACTTCAGTATATAATCTGTCCCTTTCACAGAGCAAGGTCTAGAGGGTTAGTTTTACTTTAATATTTTTTAAAATCAAATCTGTGAAAGTGAGTGGATGAAGGTTCTTTAGTGACATTTTAGTGAATTTGAGTCATTGAAGAAAGTGGATGAAGGTTCTATAGTGACATTTTAGTGATAATAACAAAGAAGCCTTGTCTATAAGTTACCAGTCAGCAAAATCTTTAAATCCCCACTCTAATTAGAAATGTTTGCATCTTAACTTCTACACTCTTGACTTCATAATATGCTACTAAAAGACTGGTTTTTGAAGCGTGCCTCTTATTTGTTTGTTTCCAAGAGAACTTGAAACCTTCTTTGACTTCAAAAACATTTAGAAACTCACTTAGTCCCTTCATCCACTAGGATTTCTGTAATTAATCCCATGGCAAAATAAATTAGTTCTGTATGTAGCTATACAGGGCTAAAATAAAGTTTTTGGCAGAAATGTGACTTAAAACCTTCTTCCACTGAGCTTTTTAATTATTTATATTCTCTGTTTCTTAATCAATTTTGATAATAATAATAATAGATGTCATTATTTTCAGGTGCATTACTTATGAATGCATAATTATTTGCAGGTGTTGTATTGATTTTTACATTTGTCATAGGGTGCCATGACACATAAAGTGACATTTGCTTTGTTATTAAATTTGTTATTAATTGTTATTAAAACTTTGTGTAGATAGATTGTGTAATTATGAAAAGTGGGGACTGATGTAAGCTTTCTTTTTCCTGGGCTTGAGATAATATTTCCTTATTAAAATGGTCAGTGAAACTTTAATTTTAAAAAGTGATTGATTTTGTAAACAAGTTGGTAAACATGCAAAAATTACACAATACATCAAATCCTCCCCAAATGCACATGAATACGATATTTAAAAAAATTTTGTTGCTTCGTAATTTTACCTATTTTAATTTGAACAAAAGTTCCACTTAAATAGTGAAACTGAAATAATAAAACGGGAATTGAGCATTTAATCTGCTCAATGATTTTTAGTTTAAAAGAATTGTAAACTTTTGTTTTAAGAACATGATAAGAAGCTAACATTTTATTTATTTATTTTGGCAATAATCTAACTTAACAGCAGAACATCTTTCACTTCTATAGTTTATTCAATTCTTTGACTGAGGTATTGAATCCTTTTTTTAAAATGAAAGCTTCAAAGTAATTTACTAATAGAGCGCTACTTGGAACTCTAAGCATATTGTGGTGTTTACATAAGACTATGTAAAAAGCAGCATGTAAATTGAATAAAATTTAAATTTTTATAGCATTTTATAAAATATTCAATGCACATGTTATTGAATTATCAAAAATTTTTAAGGATTTGAAAAGAATAAGTTTTTGGTGACTTTTATCAAGAAAAAATGTGTAAGGGTATACAAATTATTTGATACTCCAAAAATTTCAATGTCATTAGCACTATCAATCAGTGTTTGTGTTTTCTTGGCATTGGTTTATCATTGTCTATTTAACTTATTGATGCCATTTTTGAAATTTTGATTTTGAAATTAGAAGATTCAAAATAATCCAGTGATTTTATTAATGGCCATCTCTGTTGCTGTTACAAAATAAATCTCATGCTACAAAATGTCTGTAACAACTATTCCTAACAGTTACAACAGTCTTGGTGTGCTTTAATCAGAGTGTTGAAGCTAAATGTACTTAGTGGTAAACTAATTATAGATTAGAATTGCTGTTAAACTAATTATGTATTGTAGTTTTAGTTTTTTTTCTCTCCATTAAACAAAATTGCCAGTTATTTTCACTCAGACAAGTTTGTACTCACTTTAGTTTGAATCAGTGCCTCTTTTTTTTTTTTTTTTTTTATTTTTTTTTTTTTNCCATATTTTTACTTTAAATTTAAAATAGTTGCTGTTTATTTTCACTCATTAAGTTCATATTTGTACTTATACTTGTCTCAGGGTCTTCCATTTCTTCTAAGTCAGGTTAAAAAAAAAGAAGCTATGGGTATACATTCTGTGAATTAATTAATTAATCAATATTAATGATAAACCTCTTTCCATAAAGTCCACAATGACTCTTACCACGTTGTTTCCTGCAGTTCCTATATGTAAATAATCTATCAATTTGGCTACACGTTAAATATCTAGAATTAGCTTATACCTTTAGAAAGTCCTCCTTCGTATCCTGTGATATTTTTTGGCATGATGAAGATCATGTTAATAAGTTAATATCAAATCATTATGTCAATATCCTCAAATAATATTTCATTTATTTGTTTTATAATATTATAATCAAGTTTAATATTAATTTATTCATATCATATGTATTGCTTCTAATATTTAACATAATTTATTGATTACTTCCTATTCTTCCTAATTTTATTTCTACCTAATTCACTCTAATAATTTACTTAAAAAGTTTAAAATTTGGAATTTTATTTATTTAATTATACTTTTAACATTATTACATGAAGTCCAGTTAACTTTTTTAAGAATCACTGTTATTTTAGTGGCTTATGCTTACTGTTTGTGCATTCAAAAAGCATGTTGAAATACGTTTGTGTTTGTGGAAAGTGTATAAAATGAATAAATTGCATTTTTTCAAGCATTAATTTTATGTTGCTACTTATTCAAAGAAAGTTCTTTTTTGCTTAATGTGGTCTATAATTTAAGTTTAAATTTTTTGAAAATGTGTGCAATATTTTTCTGCTTCTCCTTTATTTGGTCTTGAAATTTATAGCTGCATTTATCTGGAAACTTTCATTTGCATTTTAAAATTAATAAGTATTAATATGTTTTAATTTTTTCAAAAGTTTTTTGTTGTACATTTTATGTTAGTTTTTTTTAATTAAAATTCAATGATTTAGAAATACCACAAGTCTATAAAATATCCTCATAATTTTTATTTATTTATTTATTTAAGTAAGCAAAGTTAATTTTTTTTCTTTAAGTTTTTTCTAAGAGGCAATATTTTTAACAATCATTATTATTATAATTGAGTTTCTGTGGACGTCTTTTGTATAAATCTTAAATTTTATTTTTGAAAAAATAGTAATGGGGAGTTGACATGAAATCTAAATTTTAAATACCTCTTAATTAGAATGAAAAAACTTGACTGGAAAAAATTGGTATATTAATTTAATTGGTGTTTGTTTCAAATATTTTAAAAGTATGTTAAAAGTTTTAAATCACACTAAAAGAAATTTAATCATGTTTCTATTATTGTTCTTTTTATTTTGAAGAATTGTGTCATTTGCTGTATTTAATTTTTTAGTTCTGACGCTTTAGAAAAGAATCTGGATTTAGAGTTTGATAGGAATAAAGAACGATTTGTGTTTTTAAAGGTTGGTTACATAATTATTTTATTCTGAAAGTACATGAAATATATATTTATGTATATTAATATCTTTATCTGTATCTTAATTTTTTTCCGAAAACAAATTTTATTTTACTTTTTTTAAACTGTTAAATTTTCTTTTTTATTATGAATTTTAAAATATTTATGTTTAATTAACTGTTTTGCTGTTAATCAATTTTAAACTGAAGATTTAGGGGTGCTCTTTTATTTTTGGAAACCATAAAACGCTTTTATGGTTTTCTTTTTAAATAATACAGATGTTAGGTAGTTCCATTCATAAAAATATAGTTTTCTACAAAACATAGTTTTTATTTTTATGTGGTATATTTAGGAAAAGATCTATGGTTTAATGTTTATGTGGTTTATTTAGGCAAATATATCTTTAAAAAATATTCAAATATTCTAAAGAAATTTGTTTAAAAATTAACCAATGTAACTAACTTTTAACTAATGTAACTAGTAATTAAAACTTTTAAGAAATGACGAGGAAGTAGCTTTCACCAGTGTTATTTTTTCTAGAATCATAAAAACTCAGTTTATTGTTATTATTACTATTTTAATTTCTACTGCTTGAAAGATTAATGTTTCTTGTGTCAAGACACAAGTTTGTATCTCTATTTCTATTTGTTGTCTTCTGAGTTTGGTTTCAAATTATAAAGTTCTTGACTGAAATGTGTCCAACACCTGTAATGTGGATTAATCATTATGGAATATAATGTACATTATAATATACATACATTATGGAATAAATTAATCATTATATATATGTATAAACACAAACAAAACAAAGCATATTTGCATTTATTTCAATAAAAAATAAATAAATTGCAATAAATAAACACTAATGCTTGAAATATGAAACTATTGAAAAGGAATTCAATTTAAAGATTCCCTCAAATCTTTATAATTTGTTACATTATCAAGTTCGTACTAATATATTTCTCAGGAACTAATTTTGTCTGAGGTTTTTAAAATATTTATATTTTTGTTTTTCTCAGCTTTTTTTTGTATTTCATTTTCTTTAGTGGGGAGCCAAAGCCTTTAAAAATATGACAATAGTGCCACCTGGATCTGGAATATGTCATCAAGTTAACTTGGAGTACCTTGCTAGAGTAGTGTTTAATAATGGTGGATTGCTCTATCCCGATAGTTTAGTTGGTGCAGATTCGCACACAACTATGATCAATGGCCTTGGAATCGTTGGATGGGGTGAGTAAAAATAAAAAATTTAAAATCATTTGATTAGATAGTTTTTATAAACTGCATTAAGATGAAGTTTTGCTGCATTCGATTATCCAAATACTTTTGTTAACCAAATTTATTTTCCTATTCTCCTTTTTTTCAATACTATGCAATCATTATTTAGCTAATTTTTATTTTATTTTTGCAATCTATATTAATCTTTTGCCCTATGTTCATTTTGTCATTTGAAACAAATTCCACAGTCTTCTTTTTTCGCCTTTATTTCCTACATTTTTTTTTTTTTTTTTTTTTTTTTTTTTTTTTTTTTTTTTTTTTTTTTTTTNTTTTTTTTTTTTGTCATTTGAAGCAAATTTCATTCTTTTTTCTTTACAATCCTATATTCATCTTTTTTTTTTCCCTCTTTGTCCTCTATGCCTTTTGTCATTGGAATTGTATTCTGTCTTTTTTTCAGATTTTTTTGTTTGCCCTCCCCCTCTATTTTTTAATATTCTTTTCATCATTTAAGGCAAATACCTTTTTTTTTTTACCATCTATATCCATTTTTTCCCCGTCCAATTCATAATAATATTTTTCTCTCTTGATTCCTGGATATTCCCTTTGTCATCTTGATGTAAATTCAGTTTATTTTATATTTATTTATTTTTCCTATTTATATTTTTCTTTTCTCCTCTGTATTCCATTTATTGTCCGAAGTGAATTCCACTTTTTTTTATTTGAACTTTATTTTTTCTCCTCTATTCCCTATATTCCTATTGTCACTTTAAGGAACTTAATTCTTTTTGCAAACTTTATTTATTTTATCCTTCTAATCTCTATGTTCTTTTTGTCATCTGAAACAAATTTCATTTTTCCTTTTTTTTTCAATCAATGTCCCTCTTTGTACCCTTTTGTCATCTAAAGCAAATAATATATATATATGTTTTTTTGCATTATATATTCATTACTCTCTCCCTTCTACTATTCCCTATATTCCAGTCTTCAATTAAAGAAAAAAAAAGAAATTTTTTTTGCTGTTGCACTCTTTGTCTTTTTTCTCCTTTTCTGTTCTCTAAATTTCTTTTGTCATTTGAATTTTCTAGTGAATTAATTTGTCAGTGTTCTTATTATAATTTTGTGAGGGAGAAATGTTTTTGATTGCTGTTTTCTGACTCTAGGGACTGAAAGTTTTTTAAAATAATTATATTGGTTACATGAAAACTTTTTTTTTTTATAAAAATTTTTTTTGTTGACGAAAACCTTTTACCTTGGTGGCTTGTTATATGAAAGTTTCTTTTTGGAAATTTTGTTGTTAAACATTCTAATACAAAATCTGATAATTGAAATGCTTTTATATTTTAATCTTCTTTGTGATTTAAATCTTTTCATAAATCAAGTAATTATTAATATTTCAAAACTTATGTTGAATTTTTTTTATGATGCATCTTAAAATTTATTTCAATGATTTTGTGATAAATTGCAAAATTTAAGTAAACATTTTACTTCATACAAAGCTTAATTTTGTACAAATATAATCTTTTCTATGACCTTACTTTTTATAATTAAATTATGATTTAACTAGTTAGTTATAAATTAGTGTTTAATTTAAAAATACTAAAGTATTGATAAAATTCAAAACGAAACTTGTGTGTGCATAGGTGTTGGGGGCATCGAAGCCGAGGCTGTTATGTTGGGACAAGCAATTAGTATGGTTCTTCCACAAGTGGTTGGATATAAATTAGTCGGAAAACTGAACTCTCTTGTAACTTCCACGGATGTAGTCTTAACTATCACTAAGGTAAGTTTATCTAATTTTTTAAAAATGTCTTTTCTTTTTTTGGATCTGATTGCATTATCACCTTTTCATTTTAATCTCTCCTAAAAATTAAAAAAAAAATTAAGTGTTGTTTTTTAATTTTTTTGTACTTTATATTTACTATGCAACCAATTATGTTCCTTATTTTACTTCTGTACAGCATGCAAAATTCATGTATTTGAAGTTTACACTACACAAAAATCATGTCTTTTGAAGTAACTTGATAAAAATTACAACATAATCAAAGATTTTGACTCAAAATCTATCAAATACTGTATTTAAAATTGCATTTAAATGACAAATGTTAGGCCCATTTTAACAATGATTAAAGGTTTGGTCAATTTAGCTGTTTTTGAGAACTCTTTCATTTTAATTAAATGTAACTAAGACAATTAGTGTTTATAGATTAAACCTTTTCATAATTGCAAAAGTTAAGTGATCAGTCTTAAAATGTTTATTTTGGCATAATTAAGCACATTGGATGAGATAGAGTAGAAAGAAAAGTAAAAGCTGATTTTATCTCGCTTCTTTACAGCCGTACGTGGACCTTGATCACATAGTTCTTTCCATCTTCTCACTATCTCTTTTTCTCCAGGGCTTATTTATCATACTTAACACTGATTCAATATGGAGCACAATCCATCACAATTTTGTTCCACTTTTTCTATATTTAAGCCACTCTTTATTTTTATTAATTTGTTACATTTTGTAAAGTTCTCTGCAATTTTTTCCCCAAATATATATGTATATATATATTTTCAAATATATTTATTATTTTTGATAGATTTTTTTAAATTTATTTTTTTGAAAAAGGAAAATTAAGAGCTTTGAACAAGAAAGAAATTAGGAATATCAGGACAAGTATTATTCTTAAAAGATTTTATTTTCTTAAAAGCTTAAATACAATTTTTTTAAATAAATATTGCAGTTGTTGTTGAAAAAACTATAAGTATCCGGGGGTCTGTCCAGGCCAAATTTACTACTGTTTAGCCGTACCTTCACAAATTCAACTTTAGGAAAAACAATTTTTCTTAAAATTTTATTTTTGTATCCCGTAAGAAACGATAAATCCATATTTTTACCATATTTTGGTGTTAATTTTTTAATGTAATTTTTAATTTTCACAAATTATGTCTAAATTTTCACAAAATAAGTACCTCTCAGAAAAACCTAGACAGACCCCTGGTATTATTAAGAAGTAATTTTTAGTTTAATCATTGAATAATATTCCTAAAGTGTTTTTTTCTTCACCTAATTTATTATTCTATTACCGAGAATTAATTTTGTTCTTGAAAATATTGTATTGATTAAATGTCATTAGTTAATCATTAAAGTTTTTATTATTAAAGGCTTAATCCTGTGTTTCTTCCGTCGATTTTGAAATTATAATGCACTTAATTTTTTATTATCTTACTATCAAAATAATTAGAGGTATTGACATTATGTGAGTATTACATTATTGACATTTTGTTGTATAATTATTAACTGTGAATATTTTATTTGAATTTACAATACTTTTAATGTTTATTTCCAGCATCTGAGACAAATAGGTGTTGTTGGCAAGTTTGTTGAATTCTATGGGCCTGGAGTGTCCGAGTTATCGATTGCTGATCGTGCCACCATTTCCAACATGTGTCCGGAATATGGCGCAACTGTTGGTTTCTTTCCTGTTGATGAAAAAAGCATTGAATATTTACGCCAAACAGGTAATATTTTTTTCTTCCCTTTTTTAATTTGTGGCAATATTTAACTTTATGTGACACTTTCAATGATCCCTTTAGGGATTTCAAACTCACCATCCTTTGTTAAAAAAGAGGAAATGTAAAATATGGTTCAATAAGCAATGGCTATTGGAGATTTCAGATAGAGGTGATTCCATTTAAATGTGTCATACCAACAAAGATGAAATAAGCACCAGGAATATATAAACAGATTTGCATATAAGCAATATTGTGATGAAATAATTACACATGAGGGCATCAAGCCAACTCATAAACTGAACATGGAGGTGAACAACAACACAAATGTAACAATGAGACAGAAAAATAGCTGTAGGGAAATAATATAATTAATTGGGGTTTATGTGCTCAAATATATTTAATAAAAACATTACTGATGCTCTTAATCTTAATTGGAAATTTCTTCTGTTTTATCAATTAAAAATGCAGATGAATGAAATTTGATGTTGCAGTAAATTGTTTTTCTATCAAGTGTGGTACCATAAGAAGGTAAATAGAAGAAACCTCAATGTTAAACATTGTTATTTAGCAATTAATGTCAGTGGATAATCGTGATTTGCTTCATTCAATTTGGAAGATCAATACAGTCTTTTAATCATCTTAATGCTGCAGAGCTTGTTTGATTTTCAGAATATTATTCTTCCTCGGTGGCATAACAGCCCTGGGTGGGTCCTGGCCTTTTCCAGGCATTTCTTTGTTTGACGACTGTAGATTTTTAAATTCACTATTTTTGAGTTAAATCTTTTTTTTTATTACTCGGTAAAAAGTATTTCTTCTTTTCTGGATTGAGCTCGTACTTAAAAATAAAAAAGTACTGTTCTGCTGTTTGTGTTTTGAAGTTACGTCTGAATGTTAAAGTCAAACACATTTTTTTGAATTATTATTAGTTTCTTTAAAATGTTGTTCTAAATAGCTTTCTTTTTAAGCTATAGAAAAATTTAAAATAAAATGCCAAATTAATTTACGTAAATGAAGGCACGGATTAAAAGAAAGCATATGTTTTCTCAATTGTACTGCAAGTGTGTCAGATAAAAACTAAACTCCATTAAGAGTATTTAAGGGATTTTGGTACTAAGCATTTATGTTATAGTCAGGCAAGCAAAGTGAAAATTGCAAAAATAGTTTTTAAAAAAATGCAATTTGGGATATATTGCATTTTATATTTAATATTGACTGTATTATTACTTTTGTGTCATCAATAAAAACTGAGTTGTTGAAAATAAATCATCATTATTGAATCAATATTTTTTTTAAGAAAGTGCTATTGTGTAGTAATTGTTTGTTCTAAATTAATTTCATTATCCGTGTAAAATAAAGCTTTGTATTTTATTTATTTGTGTTTTTATAGTATTTTTCAATTTCTGTATGAAATTTTACCAAACATTTACACGCAAGTAACAATGTTGTTTAGTTCTTAATTTTTCTTTTTTTTCTTCTGGTTTACTTAAATACACTGTCTAGCACCATCTTATTTTTCAACGTTAATAAGTTATCCCCCCGACCTTAAGTTTGGTGCTGCATAACCTAGTGGCTTTAATACTTAAGAATAATATTAAGGGATATAATTTTGAAAGATATATTTTACAGTTATTATCTGTAAGATCTCAAATCTAATGAATTCAATGGTTTGAATAATGCTTAATTTAAAATGAACTTCCAGTATTGATTTATTTATTCTAGGTCGGGAAGAAAAACATTTGAAGTATGTAAAAGCATATCTAGAAGCTGTACACATGTTTAGGAATTACAATGATGTTAATCAAGATCCTATATTTTCTCAGGTATGTCTTTCATTTGCAGATATATTTGTTGTGTTGCGATTAATTTATATGAGTTGCATAAATAAGGTTATAGATTTTAATATTAGAATGAAAGTTCATATAGCTATTTAAATACTTTGAGATAAAGAGTTAATGCTTATCTTATTTATTATACATGATACTTTATTATTTTACATTTTAAAAACCACCAGTTCCATTTTGAACATAAAAAGAAATTGGAGATACCTGGATTTTCGATCAGACCATCTCATTTTCTAGAAATACAAAAATGGATTTTTTTTCTAGGGAAAAATAGATTTAAAGAATTGAAAGGTTCAAATTCTTAATCCAACATCTTTTTATTTAATAATACTAAGTTTTTCTTTAAATGGCAGGCCCCTGGGTCTATTTCCTATTGGCCTCAGAAATGTCAAAATTGCTACTCTCTTATCGTTACTTAGTGGGCACCTGTGGCTAAGTCACGGGGGTGGAGTAATGTCGCCATTCTTATCTTACTTACTTATTCTATTACTTATACTATTCTTATCTTACTTACTTATTCTATTACTTATACTATTCTTATCTTACCTTACTTATTATTCATGATACTTTATTATTTTACATTTTAAAAACTGTCAGTTCCTTTTTGAACATAAAAAGAAAATGGAGATGCCTTGATTTTCGATTCTGATCAGATCGTCTCATTTTTTTCAGATCATGGATTTTTTTTAAAGAAAAAATAGATTTAAAGAATGGAAAGCTACAAATTATTAATCCAACATCTTTTTAATTAATAATACTAGTTTTTTTTTTTATTTATTTATAATTTTTTTTATCTGGCAGGCACTTGGGTCTATTTCCTATTTGCCTCAGAAATACCCAAATTGCTACTCTCTTATCGTTATCCAGTGAGCACCTGTGCCTAAGTCACAGCGATGGGATAGCATTGGCCATGTAACCACATTAATAATACTAGTAGAAATTGCAAAATTTGAATTTTTAAAGTTTAGGGACAGTATACTAATTATCTATATAGTTCAAGTATATAGCCTTACCAACCGGGTTCATAGTTTGAACCGTTAGGAAAATTCTATGAAAAAGAAACTCAATTAACAATCTGATGTTATAAAATTTTTATGATGAATTCAAAGGTCATACAATATTTATTATTATTTTTTTTTAAGAAATTGGAGAAACAAATCTTGTAGGGTGGACTTTTGCAGTTTTACAATTATTGGTTCTCTTTCATGTGATTTTAAAAATGATCAAATTTAATCAACAATACAGTAATGATATTGATTCATTTTTAAATGGGGAATTGAAAGCTCATAGATTAAAGTAGTTTTTTTTAAAAAAAAAAAGAGTTAAGTGGCATATTCACTGTGTTTTCATTTTGAGATTTTTGAAATCCAACTTTAAAAGTATTTGGTTTAAGAAAATCTTCAACTGAATTACAAATTCGTTTCTCTAGGGCAAAATTTTTTCGTTGCATTATACAAATACTTGGTCTTTCTTGATTCCCATATAGGGAAATCAAATCTGAAATAAGTTTTGCTCCTGAAGCTACAGATTTTTTTGAAGTAACATTTCTAGTCTATATTTTTTCGAAATGTGCAAGTTTAAAAACATGTAACAGGAAGTCACATAAATGTTATGACAAACTTTTAGGGGAATTAGGACACATCAGCAGGATTAAAATTGCATAGGAATCTATACCAAGAAATGTCCATGTATAGGACTAGGGGTGCTTCGCTGTTATGATATGTTCAGAAGCACACAGAGAAGCAGTTCATAATAGGAAAGCCCCCTTAGTGCAGCTACATTTTTGAGCATGAGTTCCTATACAATTTTAATTATGATTTGTCTTCTACCCTAGAAGTTTATCGTAACATTTATGCAACCCCTAGTTATATATAACGTTTTTAAACTTGTATATTTTAGCAAAAAATAGACTAAAAATGTCATTTAAAAATAAAAATGTATCTAGGAGAAATCAATTGCAGATTTGAAATCAGAGATACAAAAATATCTAAGATCTATTAAAAAATCTCATGCAGCAGAAAAAAAGTTTGTTCCTCAGTGTTATATGTATTGGTATAAAGAGATACTTAATAATTGATTCTAGCTATTTTTTTTAATGCAACAATACTATTAACATTTTCTATGCATTGATTTGAAACTGTTATGAGTTATTCAGAATTGACATAATTTTATTTGGGAACTGTTAAAACTTCCTGTTTTAAGTAAAGTAAATCTTAAATGGAAAATAATGTATTTTATTATTCTTTCGAGATAAAATTTGCATTTATTACATATAAGTAGCACAAATTTTACTATTATCTGCTTTTTATTTTTTTATTGAATATAAGTTTTATCTACTCATTTCTTTGATAGCTAAAAAATAGTGTGTCAAAAATAGGCAAGAATTTAAATTATTAACAAAACTCAATTTGCATCCTTCAGTGTAATTAAATAAACAAAAGGTAAATTAAAAAAGATTCTAGTTCAGTTTTGTACATAATTTTGATGGTATTTGTTGATTCCGGTTGTGCAGTATTTTTCCTATGTCAATATATTCTTTTTATGATCGAATTACGTTACAATTTGATGGATAGTGAAATTGTTTATCTTGCTTATTTACTGTGAAAAAAATTTGTAAATTCCGCCTATAGTAAGAGATAAATTATTCTAAAAGCTAAAATTTTATGTTATTGAATGGAATATAAATTGAGAATAAATTGTGATTAAATAATTTTAGCTTTAATTAAAATTCATTTACATACAAAATTTTGTTATTGCTAAATTTTTTATTTTGGTATAACGATTATAATTTTAAAATTTATATTGTTTATTTTTATGTTTTGCCACTTATTTTTTCACATTTGTTAATTAAGTTTTCTTGTAATTTTTATATTTTACAGTTTATTTTTTTTTCACATTTGTCACTGAAGTTCGCAATATTTTAATGTTTTTCTTTTAAGTGTAAAGTTAATAATCTGTATTGCTTGTAATTCTGGTATTTTTGTATTTTCTTCTTATTTTTGGCATATAAGCTGCTTGTATATGTATCGAAAATAATGGTTGTTAAACTAACAATTTAAAAATGCTATAATATTAATATTGCTATAATGTTCCAGGTATTTTTTTATTGTTATATTTCTTAATGGTGGTTTTTCCATGTTACATTATTTTTAGGTTGTAGAGCTAGATCTCAGTACTGTGGTGTCATCGGTTAGTGGACCTAAAAGACCCCATGATCGTGTTCCAGTTCAAGATATGAAGCAGGATTTTAAAAGTTGCCTCATAAATAAGGTAAGTTATATTTTTGAAACAGTAATCACCACTTTAATAAATTATATCAGAACAAAGTATCATTGTAGGTTGTCTTAGGTTCAGAGGCACCACAAGCTTATATTTTAGGGAGAGAGAAATTAATCTACTGAATCATAGTATATTTTTTGCATGAAATTATCATTCAACTATATTATTTCTTATGCCCCCAAATTAAAAGATTTTTTTTATTTACAATTTTAAATTCGTGAATTGAACTCTTTTCTTCAATTGGATAATTGCGAGCGACATCATGCTTGGGTCTGCCCATCAGGTTCAACTCCCACATGGGACGTTGCTCGCAGGTATCCAATTAAATATAATCCGAGAATTATTTCAGAATGGTAATAAACCAAAGACTTAAAACTGTAGTGTTAACATTCCATTCACAACCATGTGATTAGAGACAAGGACCCAATTGTAAAAAAAGCAGTTTAGCCTATTAATTTACTAAAAGTGATCTTTTGTGGTTTTCTTATTTTTTCTCATTAAAACTGATGTATTTTTTTGTAGCATTAATTTTAAAAAAAATTCCTAGTTCACCTTGTAACACATTCAACAAGTAAGGAGATTAAATTTATAATGGTCAGAGAAAATTTTCTGGATAGTGAAAATGTTTGGGAAGTTAATGCGATCTCCCAGCTTTGCAATTTTGTGTTAGATATCATATAAAGGGTGTTCTGGAGTCATATTTTAATTTCCTCTTCTCACAAGTTAACTTATAGAGAGTTTTATAATTGTCCAAAGCTTTGTAAAATCTTACTAATACTGAATGCTCTAAAATAAAATATTGGTAATCAAGAACTATAAAATACATAATGTATTAAAAAAAGAGAATGTTTTTTAAAATATCAATTATTTGATAAATAGGGAATTTGTGCCCATATAATTCTTATTGGTTTATCCTTTCTTTAGGCAATGATTTGTATGCTACCAATTTTCATGATTAGTTTAAACCATGATTAGTTAAATCAATGTTTAAGAGTTTATGGTAAACTATTTTACCACTTAAAATTCATGTTGCTATTTGTCAATAACGTCAGTAATGATTAATTATATTTGAATATGGTTAATAGCTATATACCAGTTTTCTGGAATTCATATTGATACTGTTTATGTTCTACTAAGGTATAAACGCAACAACATTTCACAACACTAACATAGTAAATAAAATTTTCAGTCACTTATGAATAAAAAGTTATATTATTTCTTTTGCTGTTTGTTCTATCATGTTTAAAAATCATTAACTTCACTACTTTTTCACAGCTAGAAAATGTGTGGTGGTAAGCATACACTTACTACCAAAAAAGAAAAAAGAGCATAAAAAATATAATTATTAGTTTAGAGAAAGATTTTTTAATGTTGTTAGTGTATAGTTTAATTTCTCAGTGAGTTTTAAAATTTGAATTGAAATGACCTTCTTGATAAATAAATTGTTCTTTAAATGCTGATGGTTTTATTGCTATTTATTATAGGTTGGATTCAAAGGCTTTGGTTTAGATCAATCTAAGTTGTCAACAACAGTTCCCTTTGCATTCAATGATCAGCAATATTTTCTACGTCATGGTGCTGTTGTCATTGCTGCCATCACCAGTTGTACAAATACTAGTAATCCATCTGTGATGTTAGGAGCTGGTAATAATTTTATTATAAATTAGGGTATCAACTACAGTATAGTCGACTCTATCCATAGCAAACTTTATGTTTTAAATCTGCTACAAAATATTTATGACAAGCTATATTGTTTGTTGATTATTGATGTAGAAACACTACACTGGACTACATCATGTTTTTGTTTGTTTATGCTCTTTGTTATTTGTAAAGGTCTTCATACAACATGCTTAATCTTTTTGCCTCTCCATTTTCTTTTACACTTAATGTTTTAATGTCAGAGTTTGCTGTTATCTGACACAGAGGGCTCTGCTTTTATAAAATACTAGGCAATTATAAGAAAATATTCTTTGTAATGCATAAACTATAATTTTTTTTTTAAGATTGTAGTTAATGCATAAATTTTATACATATGTATAGTTTGATAATTTTTAGTACGTTTTATGCTCAATTATCTGTGCTAAATCATAGGAAAATGTGACTCAGAAAGATACAGACTCAGAGAATCTAAAATTTTTTATTTAGTGTAGAATAAATTTATTTATGGAAGAAACTCGTTTGTTAACGTTTACTTGAGACTTCTATTATTCATAGTAATTAGGACCAAAATTACCATGTACAATCAAAATTTTTGTATAATTATTAACTTTCATCAATAAACAAAAAATTTACGCAATTATGTATAAAGTGACTAATTTCCCTTTACCAGCTGTAAGCCATAATGGTTCAACTAATACAATCAACTTCACTTACCCAAGTTCGATAAACTTGTTAATCATAATTTATTTAAATTTTCCTTTTCAGTTTCCAGTATTTTTATTATGATTAATTCATGTTTTGAAACTTAGTTTCAATTTTTTTTTGTTGCTATGATCTATAAATTTGAATTAGTTTGGTTTCATGTAATACATATTAATTGCTGGTGCTTATACTTAATTTATATGAATAATATTAATGAAGTAAAATTCAATTGTAGGTTTATTGGCTAAGAAAGCAGTAGAAAAAGGTTTAGGTGTTTTGCCCTATATTAAAACAAGTATGTCCCCTGGAAGTGGAGTTGTTACCTATTATTTGCAAGAGAGTGGTGTCATAAAATATTTGCAACAATTAGGGTATGTTATGCTACATTATGTATCAATTATATTATACATTAGGTTTTAATTAATTTAAAAATTTAATTTTAGTTTTGATGTAGTTGGATATGGTTGCATGACTTGTATAGGAAACAGTGGGCCTCTTCCAGAATCTGTAGTAGAAGCTATTGACCTGGTAATGTTTTTCAATTAAATATTTATATTTAAATATTTTAATATTTTTTTATTTTTATGGTCTTTTAAGTAATGTGTTTTCAGGAATCCGCGTCAGGAATCTTTTACTGTGTTTTCTTTTCGATCTGGTAATAAGTTGACTTCTTATCTTTAAATTCAAATTGTGTGTATTCCATGTATACATTGATCCACAAATTCGCTCTTGTTGAAAACAATAATTTTCTAACCAAACATAAAATTTTGTTTTCCAAAAATATAAAATGAAAGTAATAAGTCTTAATAACTCAATGATCCTGCCTTTTTAACCCATATTTTATTATAAAGCATAATTGACGCATAAAATAATTTAACATAGGTATAGCAGATCTACCAACTCTCAGGTTTTTGTCATCAATCTCGAAACCTAAGGCTAACAAAGTATTTTTTCAGTCTTTTTTCTAAATAACTGTGAATTGTAGGACCCAAGCAAACTTTGCATACAACCCCAAAACTCTTTCTCCATGATGTGTTTAGTTTATTGTTAATTCCTCTATAGAATTTTTTATAGAAAAAAATAAGTAAATTGTAGTTAAAAATAAAAGATTGTAGGACCTGAGCAAACTTTGCATACAGCCCCAAAACTCTTCTTCCAGGATGTTTTTAGTTTATTGTTAATTCCTCTTTAGAACCTTTTTTATACATATAAAAAAAAAGAATAACACTATTTTTTTTTAACAATGTGCGTCTGATGACATCTCTTTCAAGATTATTATCTTAATATGCATGTTAAAATTGCTGAGAATAAAATAGCCTTCTTCAGAATATTATGGTTCTTTTGACGAGATCAATACAAAATAACATAAAGTTGGTACTAAGGAAAGTAATGCCAGAAATTGTCGGCCAAGTTAATCCTGGTGGTATTAACCATTCCTTACAGCCATGCGACCTTTGAGAGAATATTCAGCCACATAACAGAAATCCAAACTTAATTCTGTTGTTCCTTGTTAAAACTGTTGGGAATTTGTTGACTTGGAAATAAAATAAAAAAATTTCAGAAAATTTTTTGTTGAGTTTTTAAGAAAATTTTTATTACTCTCTCAATCTGAGTCACTAATTTTTAAAGTTAAGAGAATTTCTTAAAAAAATTTAATTTCAAGAATGTAAATTTATTAATTCTTTTTTATTAATATTTTTTGTTTTACTTATTGCACTATGTCATAGTTACAAAAAGTCTCAGATTTTTTGAATTTCTGAAGTTGACCGGTCTTACATAGTTTATACATAAAATTACACTTATGTTTTTCACACTTATTAATGTTCTGATCTTGTATTCTGATTAATTCTTGACATTCAGTTTGTTTGACGAATTTAAAGAAATTTGAAATATTTATCTTATTAGGTTAATTTTTTGGGCCAAGTGTCAGTTGTTGGAAGAAAATAAAAAATTTGTGTTCAAATGTGTTATCTGTGTATAAGCCGACCCTCCAATCCGGAATGTTAAAGAAATTTAGGGGTTCCAAAAGTCAACTTAAGTTACAGTAAAATACAATATTTTTATTAAAATATTTTAATGCAATATTTTTAATGCATAAGAAACTCTGTTTAAAAAAGACACAGTATATAATAAAAATCTATTTAAGACAGAAAATTTTAAGTCCTGATAAACTTTATAATAATTACAATAATTTAATGTGTATAAAATGCAATCTGTATGACGTTTAAATAAAAGGTTTAAGAAGACAGCACAAGGGATTAAAATTTGGCTTGGGAAAATACTTTCCTGATTTCTGCAATGATCCTTTATTAATTATTTAAATGTTTATTTATTGATGGCCAAATTTGCACTTTTCAAATAACTATGTATACTGAGTTCCTAAATTCAGTATGGAAAAGGATGTAAGGGGGACTTACTATGTGCAACTGAAAAATTTGTTTCTGAAAAGAAAGAAAGAAAAGAAACTTCCACTGCAAATTTCTTTTCCTAAATTGAAATATTTTGTTCTGTAAACCAAAAGATAACACAGCAAAATGTATTTCACATACTTATACATCCTCTTCATACCATTAATTTAGTTATTAGAAAAATTATAATTTTTCTTTCTCAGTCTTTCTTTTCAAATTTTATCATATTATTTAATCATTTTGATGTGGTAGATTCTTAATATTTATATTTTATAAAAATAATGTCTGTGCAAGGCAAAGATTTATTTAAAATTAAAATTTTATTTGGCTTTGGTTGATTCCATCTTTGTTAGAGATTCCTGTGTAAATAAATATTTTTTTATTTTACCAATTCAGTGTCTTGAATTAATATATCACTAACACATGCCACAATGTGAAATATATATATACAGAAGTGAGACAGGGCATATGTCTCATGGTAGCTAACATGTTAATACAGCAATAAGAAAACAACATTACTTCAGAAAAAAAGTGCATAATTCTGTTGTTGTTTCTTATCCTCTAATTGTTTGACGAAGTCAGACAAGATCCAGTAGGTTGTTGACCCTCAAAAAGCCGATTTGTTGTTGTGCATAATTCTAAATCAGTGAATTATATTACATTTTTAAATATTTTTCCTGTATAAAAATATTTTTTAATAATTATGTTGTGTTATGTTTTTTACTACTATTAAAAAGTGCAGAAGGTATGTCCCAAACTAAAAAATGTAGGTAATCTTTGAAATTGTATCAGATTTATGATAATCAATTAAAAAAAAATTGAACACTAATCATAAATCAAGTGTTTTTTTTATATAAATGTGATTAATAATTATCATTAATTTTAGCTTAATTAATTTAATGTTTTTTTTAAGGGTGAAATTGTGGCTTGCGGTGTTTTATCTGGGAATCGTAATTTTGAGGGTCGAATTCACCCCCATACTAGAGCTAACTACCTTGCTTCCCCCCTGCTTGTTGTAGCCTATGCATTAGCTGGTACTGTGGATATTGATTTTGACAAAGATCCAATTGGTAAGTTCACTGACATAAGTACCTTCATTCCATATTCTGATACAATTTTTATATTTTAGCAATGTAAATTATTTTTATAATTTTAATCAAAAATTGCTTTTTGAAGGAAAAAGTGCATCTGGCGAGGATGTCTATTTAAATGATATATGGCCATCACGAGAAGAAATTCAAGTAAGTTAAAATATTTTATTTTAATTTTCATTTAATTAAGGGGCCGCTTTTCTAGTGATAAAAATCAACAGTCAAATGGTGGAAATGCAGGGGGATTCCAAATATGTTTCTGATCATCTCTTTTTAATTTTCACAGTTAAACTGATGTTGGATACATACTCGGCAGTATCATTCTGAACATGTAAATTGCAAGACCATCACAAAATCAGAATTTGAGAAATATAACACATGATACTTTAGACTTCACTGGGGAACAAATTCTTTGTTTCATTTGTGCAAAAGTATTTGTACAAAAATACCTAATTTGGGTGTGGTGATTTCTAATCTTATCTGAAATTATTCTTACTCCTATAGCTACAGTTTTTTTTAATGACATTTTTATTCTATTTTTTGTTGAAATGTACTCGTATAAAAATGCTATATATAACAGGGGTTGTGTAATGGTTGTGACAAACTTCTAGAAATATTAGGGGACATCATAAGAATTAAAATTGAATTGCAACACATGCCTGGAAATGTCGTTGTAGGTGGCCTGCACTTCCCTATTATGACTTGTTCCGAAGCACATAAAGAAACATTTCATAACAGAATAGCGCCGTCAGCAAGGTATGACGACATTTCCTCGCATTGGTTCCTATGCATGTTAATCCTGATTATGTGCCTTAACTGTCGTAGAACTTTGTCACTGTATTTATGTGACTTCCTGTTATGTATGACATTTTTATACTTGTAAATTTCAACAAAAATAGACTAACATTGTCATTTAAAAGCTAACAAAAACTGTAGCTTGAAGAGAAAAATTGATTGCAGATTTGAAATTTGCAACATAAAAATATCCAAGATCCATTAAATCTTATGCAACAAGGGGAAAAAATGTTTCCCATTTGATGATTTTTCACTGTTCATTGATTTTTTCTGATAAATTTTGCAGTACAATTTTTCAATCACTTTTTTTAAAAGGTGGTTTAGTATTATACATACATCAGTATTTAGGTTTTTGGTAATTGTTCTTTTTATGTAGTTCCCGTTAATACATTTTTTAGTGTTATACGAGCTAGTATAGTCTAAACAATAATAAAAATAAAGTTTAAGAAATCTAAACACAAAAAATGTACATTATTAAATTACCTATACAAAATTACTAACTACATAATTTTATTACTTTAATTTTTGAGAAAATATCTAAAAATGTTCTGGTTCAAATGCAATTTCTTTTAATGTCTTAAAACCGTGGCATTTTGAGCCGTTTATAAAAGGTACAGAGACATCAGATGATAGTTTATCAGCAAAAGTTTGTTAAAGGTAAAATGGTACAAAGAAAGCAAAAATCAAAATTTTAACATAAAATCCAAGGTGGCAAGGAAATTTGTCTTTTCAAATAAAATTTACCAATTTTTATTTTAATTGCATTATTTAATAAATGATAATCTAGTTGTCTTTTTTTTTATTTGTAGGAGGTTGAAACTAAACATGTGCTTCCTGCTATGTTTCGTGAAGTTTATTCCAAAATAACAGTAAGTTCACTAGCTTTTCTTTGTTAACTGTTTAATAATTTATATAATGCTATGTTTCTCGAAATTAAAATGCCTATCTTTTCAGTTTGGCAATAAAAGATGGAATTCTCTTGTTGCATCTGAAGGTAACTTATATTCTTGGGATATAAGATCCACCTATATTAAATCTCCACCCTTTTTTAATGATATGGTAAGTAAAATTTTTTCTTCTTCTTCCAAAAATCTCTATAAGCTTAAAATCTTGTCAAAGAAAAAGAATTAGAAAAATTGTTTGAAAAATAATGGAAGTGTGGTATACGTTTTTATAACAGTTCGTTGAATTGTTTGACCAACAATAATTTGATAGAGTTGAATAAATCAAATTTGGTAAAATATTTTCTTTTCTTCAATCTTGTTCCACGTTTATATTTCTTTTATAAACCTATTATTAATTTGTGTATTTGGCAGGACTTTCAATATCTCACTAAAAGTTGTCTGGGTAATTTTTTTCTGGCTTTGTTATGTCCAGTAGCAGAATTATAAATAATGTTTTACAACAAGATTTGATAATTGAACTGAAGACTAATTTAATAAGACTATTTTTTAAACTGAAAGTTATAAAAAATAAACAACTTTCACGAGTGTAATTTTTTCTTTTCAATAGGGAAAAAATACAGAATTTTACTTTACGAACTAAAACTGTATTGAGGCCTTTATTAATTAAATATCAAATGCCTACATAATTAACTATACTATAAAATAAAAGTTATTAATATATTAACATATATTGATAATATATTATCATACATTAAAAGTATGCAAGGCAAGATGGAATTTTTATAGCAATAGAGATATAAATTGTTTGGCAAGGATATGGAAATAAATTATTCAACTACAAATATAAATTGTTCTGTGAGAGCTTTGATTGTTCTGTGACCAGTTTTGAGTACTTTTTTGTTTTGGGAGTGATATTAGTTTGATTTTTGTATTTCGACAGGTTAACATTTGTTTTACTGAATATTGAGGGAATATTGATTATAACTAATATCTAAGTAGTAAGATTTTGTAATATTTGCAATTTGTTTCTCTTTTTCTTTTTTATGACATCTTTATGATATTTTAGGACATTTTTTGAAATCTTAAAATGAACTGAACTGATCCTTTGGAACTGTCTCAAATAGATCCTTTAACCCCTTAACGATTGGTTAATTTTCAAGAAAACGGTCATAAAAGAGCCTATTTTTTTGGCTTTTGTATTTGTATTACATATATGATTAGTGCTGCTACTAGTTTAAAATAAACTATCTACAATTACCTTAAAAATATCGTGATACTGCCATCAGGTGTGTAAAATGAGAAATAAAATGTTTTCCTCCCAAAAGAAGTGAATTAGTTTTATTCTATTGGCGCATTACTACTGAGCACTCCAGCCTGTCAATATCACGAGAGCGAGAAATAGCGGGCAAAATCTCACCCCGTCATTTTCATGGGAGCGAGAAGGAAGGGGTTAACTAAATCTGAATATTTTTGAAACAAGATAGTACTCAGGGTTTTTTGATATTTGGGATTTTCCTGATGAAAAAATAATTTGTTTTGATCGTCCCATTTTCTAAGAAAACAAATATGGATTTCTTTAAAAAAGATGTAGTTTTGGAGAGTCAAAAGATTTGATTTTTTAATCCAACATTTTTTGTTTTGTCTAATATTACTAGTAGACATTTCAGAATTCAATACTTCTAATTTATGCATCATCTACTAATTATATTCATGGTTCAGGTATATAACTTTACTCACAGGTTTCATCCATTCTATTAAAAAGAAACTTAATTGACAATTTCAGAAATTTTTATTGTGATAAATTCAGAAGTCATATACTTATTCATTTATTAACCAGAAAATGCAATAACAATTCTTGTAGAGTGGACTTCTATAGTTTCGCAATTATTGATTTGCCTCTTTCATCTGATTTTGAAAATGCTCAATTTCTATCAACAATACAGTAATCATATCATAGAATTTTTAAATAATGAATTTAGAGATAATCTACTAAATTATTTTGTACAATATTGAAACCTTGCTTTAAGATAATTTGATTAAGGAAATCTTGAACTCAATTACATATTTTGTACATTGGTATGAGAAAATATTGGCTAATTCATATTGATTATTTTGATGATACAGTAGTATAAAAATATTCCATGATTTGCAGCTATTGTGAGCTGTTCAGTAGATAAAATGATACTGGAAATTATTAAAAATTTCAGTTCAAAATAAAGACATTCTGAAATTAAAAAGAGTTGTTTTGTTATTTTTTTGCAATGAAATTTGCTTTTAATATATTAAAGTTGAGCAGGTCATTTTTTTTTTTAGTTTACCTTTTGTAAAAATTGTCCAAGATATGTATATTGCTCCCAAAAATATCACGATTTTTTCTTTGACCCTCTACAAACATGTATTTCTTTTTTTCTAATGCAAAATTTAGTTCAATTATTTGGTTTTTTACATTTTGATTTTATTTTTGCAGTCCATAGCGCTTCCAGAAATAAATGATATCAAAGATGCTAGAGTATTGCTCAATTTAGGTGATTCTGTGACAACCGATCACATATCTCCCGCTGGTAGTATTTCCCGTAACAGCCCAGCTGCACGCTATCTAAGTGAACGAGGGTAAGTAATAAGGAAGTTTGTTTTTAATTGATTTATTAAGTAGGGAGATAACTTCATTGGAAACTATTAAATATGTGTAACAACATGAAATTTAAGCTTAGTTTTTATATTAAAAAACAGGCAGTATTAAAATATGTTTTGATACTATAGGATTTTATGACTTTCTGCTAGAATGTGCACAATTAATTAATTAATGTATTAATTATCTCTTTTAAATGTTACTTCATCATGGATGCAGTTACCATTTAAGGAAATTTCTGCTACATATGCTATTCAATAATATATTGTAAAAACTATTGGATGACAATATATTGAATTCTGCATATTTTTTAAGAAGTATTTAAGAGACATTATGGTATGAAAATGCTGTTGAAGTAGACATTGGTTGATACTTATCTTTTGTTCCACATTTTTTTTCAGTAGCAAATAAATATCACAAGTTATTAACCGTAGAATTATGTATAATTTACAGTAGAATTAGTATTTCTTTGCAGTCATGCATATACTCATATGTTATGATTAGTTAAGAGCATTATATCTTTGTTTAAACATCCTATTATTTTTGCAGTACTTAAAGTGTTAAGTTTGTCATTTTTTTTTTACAGACATATTAAACCATTTCTATATTACAGTGGGGAACCAATTATCCGGAACGATCGGGGCCATCGCTATTCCGGATAACTAATTTTTCCGGTTTTCTGAATCGCTACAAAAAGCCGTTTTTTTATTGTTAAACCCAACTAAAAAAANTGAATCCTTAACAACTGCATGAATTTTAGGAAAGAAGAAAAACGATGAAGTAATACACTAATGATTATTTCCAAAATGATGGTAAGGTCTTTCAAAAAAGAAAGAAAATGAGGAAAAAAATTTTTTTTTAAAAAAAATGGCGGGAAAATTTATCGAATTTCGTTCCGGTTTTTTGGTTTTCCGGTTTTCTGATTTCCGGATAACGGTTTCTGTACTGTAATTTCATGAGCATTACTGAGAATTGACGAATAACAGCAGATTGAAAGCAGTTCAACAAAACAAAAATAAGAATAATGAAGTTAAATACTGTATATCCCTATGTATGAGTCAACTTTCTAAACCCCCAAATTATACGAAAATTAGGGAATCAACTTATACACTAGTAATAAAGTCCGTCATTTGTTCTTCGTAAAACATCAACGCAATATAAACGACAAGGTAGATAAGAATAACTTTATACCGCTTTGAAAAACTTTTTTTAACATGTTATGTGCATTTAATTTTGTATTTTCTGTGATTATATTTTCTTAACATGTAAAAGTTATTTTTAGGAGAATACTTTCTGTTATTTTCAAAAAAATTTAAGAATTAGAAAAGTCAATATAATTTATTCAAGAATATTTTAAGAAATCTATAACACAGTGAAAACTTCTGAAGACATCAGAACATCTTCCTCAGATTCAGTAACGCTATCAGTGTCGTCATGAATCCTACTCTGAAATGATTGCTAAGTCCCACAAAAAATAGTCTTTACCCCATCCAAAGAATTTGAAATTCTGTACTTTTTGAAAAGATTTTACAATAGCATTTTAATTTATATTTTAGAACGTTTCTAGTATTATTTGCAGTCTTGTATCACTGATGTTTATAGAAGCAGTGCAGATATTTCCTGTTCTTTTAAAAGTTTTTTTTCCTTCCATCTATTATTTATTCCAGGACAATTTTTAAAATTTCGGTTTTTTTCAGTTCGTAACTTATACATTAGACACACCAGAAATTTGCTATCTCCTAACAAAAAATAGGTGGTCAACTTATACACTAGATATAAAATGTGGGAAATTTTATATAGATAAAACTACATTGTTAAAATGTTTCTAAATTGAGATATAATTTTTCCAAGAAGTCTCATTAAGTACTTCTATCCATTAATTTTGCTTTTATTCGTATTTTATGTAGCTATTTAATTAGAAAAGAATCACAATAATTGTATTTTTTACATTAGATTAACACCCAGAGAATATAACTCATATGGTGCCAGAAGGGGCAACGATGAAATAATGGCTCGTGGAACATTCGCCAATATTCGTATTAGAAATAAGTTCCTTTCCAAAGCTGGTCCTAAAACTATCCACATTCCAAGCTCTACTGAGGTATTTAAAATTTACTTTTGATATTTATTTGTTGTTTGTTAAGTTATGATTTTAAAGTAGAAAGTTTTTATTATTGTGTAGTGTGTTTTTCCATTCAATTAACTATGGTCCCACTGGTAAAAAGACAGTTTTTTTTTTTTAGAAGTAAAATACTGTTTTTTTTTTTCCCTTCTTTTCCTAAGAATATTTTTGTGCCATCAAATGGCAAATCTAATTCAATTTATAATTTGCTGGAAGAACATTCTGAGTAAGATTTAAGAAGAGAGAGATTTCTCAAGAAAGGATTTTGTTTCAGTCTTATTTAACATGCAAAATCTATTTAGTCTTTAATTTCATATATATATATATTAATGGGGTGCACGACTTATTTCAGTGAAGGGCCACTTACACACCACATAGATTAATGAAGGGCTGCACACGTATTTAGTCATGTTAGTGGCAAATATGATAATTTTTATCTAAACATTAGTGTTCTAAGCACCAAATATTTTTATGAGTAAACTTAACATATTTACAAAGAATTCAATACTTTTAATTATTTGAATTTATTTAAAACTACTGTAAAAAACTAATGTATACATAAATATTAAGAGTAGGATATAAATTCTGACCATAAAGAAGCTTATAGAATAAAAGTGAAAAAAAAAACAAAAAAAAGAAGGAGAAGAAAGAAACTTTATTTATAGAGTAATATAAATTTGAATTAAATATTTTAATAAGAGAAAATTTGAAATGTTTAAACAAAAACCAAAGTAAAAGAATTTTTTTATTGCTTTCAAAAGTTCCCTCAGGCTGCATGTGGTCCGCAGGTTATAGGTTGTGCACCCCTACATTAATATATATTAATATGTAGAGAGACAGAAGTTCTTGACAGCAGAATGCTCATTTTGGGCTGATGTCTTTAGTGCTTGTAGATGATACTAAGAACAGCGTCCGATAGAAAGAAACGAGTGATTGGCTGTTTGGTTCTCAGTGTATTCTTATTGAAGAAGCTTATTTCAGCTCTTTGTTGCTTAAAGAATAGTGGAAGGCTAAAAATTTGGTGAATGCTTAGAAGCAATTCTAGGAGTTTGTTACATTTTTAGATTAAGTGTTGTCAGCAAAAAGGGTTGAATGAATAGTTTGGTTAGAGATTTATTGATTTTACCAATAGGACGCTTGCAGAAAAGATATAAAGGTCAAGCATTATTTTTATTTCATACTGTCAATGTACTAAGTTTTACGCTAATTTATTCGAAGTTACTAAAATTAACTTTCATTCTTTCAGCTCTTCAAACATGTTATGTAAGCATCTCTAAATTATAAAAATCTAAGTAAATTATAAAAATCTAAGTTTTTATAATTTACTTTCAGTTCCTCTTAACCTTAAAACTTTATTAATGATCTCATTTTATCTTAGAGCATTAGAATTTTTGTTGCCATTTCTTTCAATATTTTTTTATTATTCAAATTTCAAAGTTAAAAATATATTAGATAATAAAAACAATTATGTATGTACCCTAATAATTATTTATTTAATTTAGTTGGATGTGTTTGATGCAGCTGAGAAGTATAGAAGTGAGGGTACCCAGCTAATTATTTTGGCTGGTAAAGAGTATGGCTGTGGATCATCACGTGATTGGGCTGCTAAAGGGCCATATCTCTTGGTTAGTTATTTATTTCAATTACCCTTTGAAAAACTACTTTGATAAATTTTTTTTGTTTTAAGGATTAAAACTGTTATGTTCTTCTTGATGCTATTTTAATTTTTCTTCTAGAAAATACTAAATGTAGTCAAACTCAGTCAAAAACATGGACTTTGAGAGAATTTGCTTATTAAATCCTGGTGTTTGTTACACTTGATTGAAATTAGGATGATACAAAAATGAATGATATTGTTTTGTTTGTAATTTTTTTTTCAATCAAATGTTTCACCAAAAGAATTTGTCTGTCAGCATTCACATATTAAGCTATTACATAAAATTTATGAAATGATCACATATATGTAATTGCTGATTTGGCCTTTTCTTTAAATTTTTTTAAATATATTTTATAATTATTATAATTTAAATACAATTTACAATTTTCTCTTAAATCTATATGAAATCAAATTACAAGTTGCACTGTTGTTGGCTAAAACCCAAGTTAGTTATTTTTGATCATCTTATGTTTTTGCAATATATTTATATTGTATTTTGTTTAGCAGTAGAAGATTGATATGCCACAATTGTCTTGTAAACTGTGTTATTTTTGCGCTTGTAAATAATAAAAATTGCACTTAAAAAATTTTACAATCCACGTTTTGCATGTGCCACAATTTTTTTTATTTAGTTTGTATAAGATAGACTTATTTCTGTTAGCTGTGGAACTAAGCTAGTAGCTCGGATTTGATATAATCGATTGACGTTTTTCGTAGCCACTGCAGGAATTGAATTATATTTTCGTAATTGGAGCTGGAGCTTTTACTTGCACTTTGTTGTATATTTAATCACTTAATCATGAGATTTTTCTTGATCAATATATAAAAAATGGAATCAATGGAAAATGGTTTATCTAAGGGACAAAATAAAAATATATTATCTTAACTATTTTGCAAATTTAATGTCTCTAAAGCAAAGTTAATAATTTTTTTCTTGTAAATAACAAATGTTTAGTTTCCTTATATTTGTGTTTTATTGTATTTGAATTAAAACATTGTTTTCAGACCATTAATATCCTAGAATTACATTGCCATTAATACTAGGTAATGATCTATATAAAGTAAAATTTTATATCATGCAAATACTTTTTTAACGTTTGCATTATAACAATATTCTATAATATTTTTGCCGTTTAAAAAAAAATAAATATTTTTGGCGATAGTATCTATTATAATACATTCTTTAAGAAATGAAAGTAAACAATTTTTTTTCCTTGTAGGGTGTTCGGGCAGTTATTGCTGAAAGTTTTGAACGTATCCATCGTAGTAACTTGGTTGGCATGGGATTAATTCCATTACAGTTTCTTCCTGAGCAGAATGCTGAAAGTCTTGGCCTTACTGGTTTAGAAAAATATACAATAAATGTGCCTAAACACCTTGTGCCAGGACAAAAGACCACAGTGCACGTAAGTACAATATTTCTTTGTAATGTGGATTGATATGATGACTAAATTGTGTGCTGTGTTTATGTGGATAAATTTGACACTTATTTGTGCTTATTAACACTGGGTGATTTATAAACAAGTATACAGTTTCAATGTTATGTACTATAAATCAAGAGCAATATGAGATATTTTATGTTATGTTACAAAAGAATTGTATTTCATTATTTTTAAATTTTGTTCGAGATAGTCACAGATGTTTTATGTGTGACCCTTTAGTCACACGACGCACATCAAACCAGTTTTTCATTTCCGCCATTGTTGAAAATGGCGATTTTGCCAATCGATTAGTTTTCACTGAGAAAACAACGTCAGTGGGTAGGTAAACGAGCAAAATTTTATCTTTCAGGAAAACAGAGAATCTCAAATTTACTGAGCAACATGTACAAGATTCTCCTTAGTTAAATGTGTTCCATGCAGTGCCCAGAAAGAAAGTGTTCGGCCTTTACTTCTTTTCAAGAGTAAACTGTCGCAGAAGTCGCTTTTTTATTTATTTGTTAGCTCTTTTTTTTATGCCATTGGCATCTTCGTTCTCCAGTCTGATAGTGCACCACCATGTTAGTTGGATTGTGTGCGAGATAACCTTTATGAATATCTCCCTCACCAATAGATTGGACGAGCCGCAGATTACTACATGCTACTTACCACCAAGGTCACCCATAAGTCCTGTCCAAACACCTTGTGATTTCTTCTTGGGTAGGGGGTATGTAAAAAGCAAGCATTTGTCCTCACCCTTACTCTTAATCTTCAACTTTTTGCAGACCTGAAACAGCTTATCTCTGCTACTATCGGTGGACTCTATTTCGATGGAACTTTTGGTGGAAATGAATTACCGACTTAATGTGTGTGGTGTAACTAATAGGTCACTCACAGAACGTTTGTGACTCTCTCTAACAGAGCTTAAAATAATCCCATACAATTCTGTTACAAGTAATACATAATATTTAACATTATTCTTAATTTATAGTGCATCAAAACTTAATCAATCACCCTGTATATTTTATATGATAGTTGTCATTAATACACTATTTACAAGTTTTAAACTGCAAAAATATTATCTTTTTTATTAAATTGTTAGTTTTTAAAGATATCAATTAAAGATCTTTTGAAAATATTGAGAAATGTTGTAATAGTAGTAATATTGTTTGTGATAAAAACAATATTACTATTATTTGTTTGTATGTGTTGTGAAAGTTTAATACTAAAGGCATAGTAAGACAAATCCCTGAGGTCTCTAATTTTGAAATGTCATTAAATCAAGATTAAATTCAGTTATTTGGAGCTAGCATATTAGCTATGCCTGAATTTGTGGTGGCTCCTGCAATAGAACGCTCGCCTCCCAATGACGTGACCTGGGTTCAAATCCTAGCGATGGCTGGTCCATATAAATTCCGCTCACAGCTCGCATCGACCACAGTACTGAAGTAAATAATTCTCAGTGGTAGATGGGTCGCAGGTTAAGAGTCCCCTTTCTGCCCTGCTAAACGTTAAAGGTTTTAATGGTTGTCCTCCACAAGGCAAAATTTTTCCCAATACCTGATCCGGGAGTTTTCTGGTATTCTGGATTGGGGTTCAAATTACTAGGCTACTGAGTTCAACATTGGTAGTCCTAAACTCGAAATTGGTTCAGTTGTTCAACAACCATTATAAAATATATAAAATAAAAATTTAGTTCTGTCTAAATATCACATACAAATATTTATTTTTTGTTTTTAAGTTGTTTGTTTCTCAAAATTTAAACCTTTTATTTCAGGTTGACGATGGACGGCAATTTGAAGTCATCGTAAGATTTGATACTGAAGTCGAACTGGCTTATTTCCGTAATGGTGGCATCTTACAGTACATGATTCGCCAATTACTAAAATCAGCGTAATTAATGTCAAATTTGGTTTAATACTCTTTATTTTAATATATTGGGGTTTAGGTTAATATATATACAAAAAAATAAAACACTTATTTCTCTTGGTTATTTATTATTGATGCATTAAATTCATGTTTTTTTCCCAATTATCGATAAAAAAATTTTGTGTGTTAAAATTTCTCAAATTTTTTAACATTGGTTTTGATTTATTATTTGAAATTGCTTTACATTCAGGTCAAAAGGACTTAAAGCATTGCATGTTAAATTCCTTTATACATATGTACGAACAATCTATAATCTGTTCTTAATGAATTGTTTGATTTGTAGGAACAATGAAATTAATATTTAAAATATTCGTTATTATATTTAGTTTTATTTAAAGATTTTCAGTTGTATTAATCATTATTTGTAAGCCATATTTTATTTTGAATGTTTCAGACTATGAAATGTTTTCTTGTACACATGAAATATTTTGAATTAAATATATGTTAAAGAATAAACTGCCATTGATTTATTTATTGAAGTGTTTATTTAATATGAATATCCCTGTTCAACTTTGGTTGAAATAAATAAATTTTTTCACCAAATGCCCTCTTCAAAATTCATATGTGTTTAAAAGTCACAATTTTAGAACTATTAAAATATATTTATTTAGATTTAAAGTAAGCTATATTTGTTACAAAATAATAATTTATGTAAGTTGTGTATTTGTTGTGCTTGTGATTTTATATTTTATAAATGTTCTCATGACTATTTTGTTGTGATTATTTTAAGATGTAGAAAATTTAGATGAATTTTGAGAATACAGATTATATTTTTATTTTGACCTACATGTGACATTAAAAATATTATTTGTTATAAAAACAAATTTAAAAAATGTGTACAAAAAACAGATCAGCATTAAATATGATTTTCTATATGTTGCATTTTTCTTCTTATTTTTAATAGCACACAGTGCTAGATACCATATAAACGATAATAACATTTTTAGCAGCTTATTGTACTGTTTTTTCGTCATAAAATATTTATCAGTTAATACTTTTTATTTTAAACTTATCTAAAATTCCTGCTGGTTTAGCGTGGAGTTTAGAAGTAAATTATTAAAACCTATACCATATATTTTTTTTAGGTATAATCGATTAGAAATGAAGCATAGATCAATAAACCAAAATTATTTATCAATTACCAAAATTAGGCTATTTAGAAAAAGGATAACTATAGTATAGTTACTTGTGTGATGAAAAAGATTCATACTCTTTTCACTCGCTAGATGGCAATACTTATCCAAGGAAAGATAATAGAATGACATCGTAATTCAGGGACCAATCACAAAAGTAATACCTTTTTGATTTCCTGTACCTATGGAGCTAGATTTTGTAATTAGTGTTATTTTGAAATATTGACAAAACTGCTCAAGAAATTTAATTCTCTCTGTTAACTTTTGTGTCAACTCCACTGGAATCTTGCACAATGATGCTAAACCACACACAGTTTAAGCAATAAAAAATTTGTTCAGAATTAGTAATGGAAAGTTTAAAACCACTTACTCTTTATTCCATGTAATTTCCACATGAACAATAAACTATAAACACACCACAGGGACATAGGTTTGAAAGGGATTACAAAATCATGGTGTGCAATATAGTGAAAAAATTACTGGTATTTTTTTTTGTGAACATTATATCTCATAAATTTTTTTAATAAGTAAGTATGAATATTTTATTTTCTGAAAAAAATTTATTTCGCGCTTGTTTCTTAAAATTTTTCTTCTTTCGTTTAAAATGAACCTTGTAATATTTACGCTATTTTGAGAAATGCATCAAAAGAAATTCCTTTTATTAATAATCTCACAATTTTTTATATAGTTTGACATTTTTGAAAAAGTGGGCACAGTTAAAAATACCACAATATTAGTGACAAACTGTTCCATTTTTCCTTTATAGTGTGCATGCATGACAGATCTAAATAGCTTCCTATCGTTTTTAGAAGCATGGCATCGGCGGATGTTGTTACAATGGGATCACATTGGTGTCATATTGTCGATAAAAGTTCATCATTATGCTTCATTAAATAAATTTTATGAAGTTGCCGTTTACTCATTATTGATTGTACTTCATAAATAAGTTGTTTTTCTTATAATGTATTGCAGACTGAATAAAAAATAAATGAAGTAAACCTCAACATGGTTTAGTTTTACATTTTATTTATAACTTTCAATAAAGAATAAAATATATACAACTTAAAAATAGCTTTAAAAATTAATGGCCATAACAATCTTGCACTGTTGGAAACAAGCCTTCTCGACTTACAGAATTCCTATCCATTACATCATATGCCACACTTTTTGTTTTGTCATCCAGCACTGGTGTTCGAGACAGTATCCATAAAAATTCTGCAAAATAATGTATATAATAATATGTAGTAATGAAGCAATATGTCATCAAAATCAACCACACTATTTATAAACATATTTTTTATTCAGTATGCATCTCCACAATTTTGTATCAATTTGAACAATTATAAATTTTTTCAAATGGCAGGCACTGAACTTTATTCTTCGCCTAAGAAGATGCCGGGATTGTTACTCATTTTACGTTACCCAACGTAACATTATTAAAAGAATTTGTTTACTACTACTCATTAATAAACAGATATATGAAATGTTAGATAGTCCGATGTTCATGTGCCCCGAAATTCTGATTGAAGTTGCATCAAAACTCTATTCACTTGAGAAGTTTCTGCTTTATTACATTACCACTTAAGAAAATACTTTAAATCAACCTCAAATTTTGGAAGGTATGTTTACTGCAGGATGATGTGATTGTATTTGGTAAATAACTATTTTATTTATATTATATCAAGCTATGTACAAACCAAATTTCATTAAAATGTGCCCAATAATTCTCTTCATTTTGAATACCAGGTAGCCGAGTGGTTAGCGTGCCTGACTGAGGAGCCGATGATCGCGGGTTCGAATCCTGCTCAGGGCTTGGATGTTTCTTGTTGTGAATGTGACCCGCCCTATAAACGGGTTTGTGGTTGTGTGACGTGGGTGACGCTGCTCCACCGCCTAGGCTTCGCCACAGGTGCCCACTGGGTAACGAGAAGAGAGTAGCAGTTCTGGCATTTTCTGAGGCCAATGGGTCTTTCGTCCCAAGTGCCCGCCATTTAAAAAAAAAATAATGAAAAATGCCAGAATAATTCAAGTAAATAATAGTATTGATTATGATCGTAAAGTGTAAATCTTGTATTGCAAATACGAGAATTTCATTTGTGAAGGAACATATTACAAACTTACTTAGAAATGAACTAGTATTTTATTTCAATTATAATGTAAAAGAGATAAATATAAACAGTACCTGCTTTGAACATGTGTTCGATGCTGGAACAAGCATAGACAACTGAGTATTTTTCGTAATCTGTATCAAGTACCCAATAATTGCCAGGTTTAGGGCCTAAAAAAATAATACAATACTTCGTTATTTCAGGACCTAGTTTTAAGTTCTCAACTTATAGAGATGTCTAAGCTGACGTCATTTTACTTCCCAAGTAAAAATTCTTTATGGTCCTATCAGACCATTTTGATGGTTCATGTTGGTTTCAGTGCGATCCATAATGGCCCAACATCATTTGATGGTCATCATCATCTAACATTTTCCATTATGCGTTCCATCATGGTTTTTGATATGCCAACAAACTTCCATCATTCTATGATGGAAAATGTAATTTATTACTATGATGGTTAACCAACAAGAGGAGTTGGATTCTCACGGACCAACAATCCGTGATGGCCTGATGGGTCCAACTATACATTTCCACGATGGTTTAATGGGAATTTTTGTTAATTCTCAAGAATATACCTTCAAAACAATTTGGCTTCTTTCTTATGCTGGATTATCATGAATCAGTCCGAAATCCTACATTGGGAGATGGTGGTTCACGATCGTTCCAACATTTGATTTCTAAGAAACTATGATGGAAATTTCTGATGACTCAACATTAACAAACCATCAAAACAAGTTGCTATTCTTATGTTGGACCATCATTAACCTGTCCGAATTCTTACATTGGGGTGATGGTTTCTTATGTTGGTTACGATCAAGATTTTGTTGGTCCATCAATAGAAAACCATCAAAAATTTTGACTTTGGTTTGTTATCCACTGGAAAATCATCAGTTACAGATAGCAACCAATAGGAATACTGCCGTGCAGTTAAAAAACCAAAGTAAGCGACAAAAAATTCAAAATAAGGGTTTTTATAAACGATGAAACCTCGGTTAAACGGACACTTTTGAGAGCAACCTCGGTTAAACGGACACTTTTGAGAGCGATAAAATTATCCGCTTACGAGAAATGTCCTTTTACGGGAAGGGTACACTAATAACAAAGTTTAACTCCGTAAATTACGTATTTTGTGTTATGCAATTTTAAAATTTCGTTTTTTTTAATCTTTTCCAAAATTAAACTGATTTCTTTATTAATAATAAATTTTGAAATTTCTATTTCAGTCAATTTTGATTTTTCAATTACTGTCACTTAATTAATAGATCTCATTAGTTAGCATATGTGAGGTTAATGCGTGAAAATCCAATCAGTAAAACAAAAGTTATTCAGAGTAACGTCTGTTGTATGTCTCACTGCACAGCATTGATTGATGTAAAAAACAACTTGACTTAGTCGATAGTTGCTTTCAATTGACAATTTTTTTTTGTTTTTAAAAGAGAAATATTGCAAAAAAAAAAATATTTATTGAACTGTTATTATAATTTACTTACTGGTATCAAATTGCACTTTCAATTTTGCAGGCACATTTTTATCGGGTATTGTAGCTTTTCCATTTATTGAAGTCCTTACTCCAGTACTAATTCAAAATAAAGATAAAATATGTTAATAAAGTAAAATTTTTTACGTTTTAAAACGTCAAGTAGACTAAAAATGGAAATTTTGTTTTATATTTATTTTTATCAAACTTTAAACAAAAATTATGGAGAATATCATTATTTGAATATATATATATTCAAATAATGATATTCTCCATATTTTTTTATAATATAAGTAGATACTTTTTTCTGCTTATATAATTTTTAAAATATAAGTAGAAAAAAAATTCTGCAGACAAGAATTGAGATTAGCATCGGCTCTAAAATATGGCCTAAAAATATACGTCGAAATTCTTTAGCATACATATCCTTATTTTTTATTTGATTATTTAATTTCTTTTGTTGTTGTTTCTATTGCCACTTGCCAATGCCAGCAAGCCTGCTTTGGAAAAGTAGCGAATTTAGGGCAGAAGGTGCGTTTCTTACTTTTCAGTCTCGAAATCTATGACCAAGAACATGATTTCAGTCACATACACGTCACTACCCGTTTCACAGGGCTGGCACATTCATTCTTTCACAGATCGTAATTTTGACCAGATCGATCAATCTAACCGAACGTTCCGAGAACGATCAATCTCCGAACCAGTACCCCAAGAGATTTTGTTTTGTTATGGGATCTTCTAGGACTTAGCGACCCCGACAGATTTAACTTGCACCAGTCACCATTTAATACACGGCGCTTCTTCGGCAGGTGGGATTCAAACTTTCGTTCTCACGAACACGAGTCTTACGTCATACCAACTAGACTATCCCAGCCCCATTTAATCTCTTAATTATACTAATAGCCTACATTGGAAAAAGTGTACAAAAAATTTCTGTGTTAGGATTGTAACGAGTCTTTTTATGCTACTGAATGCGGTGTCTCAATATTGGGAGCCGTAAAATTACTTCTGTTGCAATCTTTTCAAAGAAAGGCTTATTTCTCTACTATTTTCAGGGGACTGCGCATGCTTAAAATTTCATTTATTTATTTTTTTATGGCTTATTTTTCTATTACTTAAATAACATCGTTAACTAATGGATTATTGGCAACTGTCCGCTATTTATCTTTAAGAATGATTCGAGAACAATACTGCAACCACCCTGTCTGTGCACAACGCTCTGCAACCACTGTCCAGCCGTGAAGATACTTTATTCGGCTCTGAAATTACCGGGGACATTTTATTGCAGTAAATTCTGTACCATTAACTAGGGTTTTAGAAGCTCTTTCACCCGGAAAAGTAAAAAAACATAGTTTAAGTGCCTTACATTTGAAACAAAGCTTTAATTTTAAATTGTATATGCCAGCTTGAATTGTAGAGAATTATTTGGTCTTTGGAACAGACAAATAACTAAAATATTTTAAAAGTTATTAAACTCTTTTAAAAATCACCAATTTGGCGACATTTTTCCACCCAGTTGCAAATTCTTATGGACCCAGATAATGCAGCATTGGGGTAAGTTTCTAAATGTTAAAAGATTAGACCACAAACGTTTTTCACTTTCTCAAAACTGTAGGTTTTCTCCATATTGACGTTTTGCACCATTTTTAAAATAAACATAGAGGGCGCTGGCTAAAGATAGGCTAAACTTGACCTAATGGTCATGAGGGACTGCTGCTTGTTGTTGTTGTTAATTTAGGTCGCACTAGAGCTGCACAATGGGCTATTGGCGACGGTCTGGGAAACATCCCTGAGGATGATCCGAAGACATGCCATCACAATTTTNTTATACCTCGATTTTTTCTTAAGGGCTTATAAACCTCTGTCAAGTAGAAGGACAGATAGAACAATTTAGAGAGGGACATCATGAAGAATATATCCAGGGTCACGGTGGGATTCGAACCCGTCACTTCCTCGTTTCACACAGAGTGAGGCGGGTGATATCGCTTGGTCAGGGAGGCCCCGGAGTCACAGCATTTGCTAGCTATTTTCTTGTAAGCGCTGTGACTCCTTATTGATTTTGGTGCACGAACCTCTAACCTTCTCTTTCTCAATGAGGGAACCTTATCTCTTAGATACATAAGCTTGAAGGTTTATGTATCATAAATGTATTTTTATTATTTAAATATGTTGTCTTCTGTGATCGAAATGTTCATAATCCTTTAACAAACTGAAGGATAGATAGTTAATGTTTTATTTTATAATTTCATAACCGTCGTTGAACAGCCAACCAAATTTCAGTTTATGAACACCAATGTTCAACTCCGTAGCCTTGTAATTTTGAACCTAATTTCTAAAAGACAACCCTGGATCAGTATCCCCAGAGATATTGATTTGGTATGGGAACTTGGAGGGTTTTGTGTCCCCGTGAAATTTAATGCACACCAGTCATCATTTAATAGACAAGGATTCTTCGGTCGGTGGAATTCGAACTCCCGTTTTCACGAACACGAGTCCAACACCCTACCAACCAGGCTATACCTGGTCTAAGATAGTTTATTTTACAGGATTTCACATAGCTGAAAGATATATCCAGAATTACAGCGAGAATCAAACCCACTACCTGACACTTTATGGTGTTTGCGGCCAAAGTTTTTCAAGTATTAAGTTTAACGAATTAGTGCAAATTTTGCCTTTCCGTGAGTAATACGATTTTATTTGACTATTGATTTATTATGCTTTAGTTTTGGAGTTAACAACTTTCTAGTGTACTATTATACGTAAGTTTCTCTTTATACATCTTAATATCTTCTTTTATATAGTTTTAACTCGTTTAGTTTGCAATTTTTGTCAAAAACTGTTATGATTTGTGCAAGTTCCGCTTTTCTACCGACATTGTAACTTTTCATGCATAGTTTATGTGTTCAATTATATTAGGGTTTTATGACAATTATTCATACTCTTTTGTCGTATGTATTAAACTAATATTTTAACATGAAATTCTCAGAAGTTTCAACATGAAAGTTCTGAAGTTTTAACATGAAGTTTTACTACGTTCCTTTCTTAATATTTTTCTTCGTTTTAGAAATAAACCTTGTAATATTTATTATATTTTGAGTAATGCCTTTCATTATTAATATTAAGTTTATGTAATTGCTTAAGACTTTCAATTTTTGAAAAGGAAATATAAGAAATGTTATAACTGGCCAGTAGCAAAATTTCTAAATTTTGTTCTTTATTTTTTCACCCACGCTTATGTAAAAAGTCACAACAATCCTCCTTTTTTTAAGCTCTAACTATTTTACGTAGTAATCCAATTTTAGAAATAAATTCAAATAAAATATAGAACTTTACGTAAAACAAAATTTAAGTTTTAATTCACTTTAATTTATAACTTTTGAGTAAAAAGCTCTTTAGAAATCTTAAGCGTTTTCTTTTGTGGTACATACTCTTTACCTCTGAAACTCGGTAACGAAATTTTATCCAAATTTTTCATTCTCCAAATTTAAATTTCTTAGACAGACTTTTTTTTATTTAAAAATGTTTTGAAAATAAGAAAGTTTAGTGTTAGCATTGATCATACCCTCCCTCCCCCTTGTCACCAAAAATTTGTAAATCACAGACAATCTCCCTTCTCAGATGCTTAAGTAATAATTGAACGGGTGGCATTATTGATAATAATAATTGAATAATAATTGAATATTGAAATATTGAATATTGAAATATTGAATATTGAAATATTGAATATTGAAATATTGAAGTATTGAATATTGAAGTATTGAATATTGAAATATTGAAATTATTGAAATAAAATCTCAAACTTAAAAGAACTGTTTATTTATGATGAAAGATTCAAGCTGTTTATACAAACTATAGTAAAATAATCTTACTTTACGTTGACACCACTGTTGTTGACAGAAATGTAATCTCCTTCGTTTCTATAAATTGCCCAGTTGCATTTTAATCCATTCTCAAAAAAGGCAGGATTTTTTTCAAATTCATACCATTGACCTACATACTGTAAAAATTAAAAAAAAAGAATCCATTTTATTGTTTATGTAGTTTTGTGATTGAAGAGCTTGAAGCAATGTAATAAGCCAGGTTTTAATATAATTCAGAAAAGCGTTTTTGGTGAGAAGCACTACTAGTGAAATTCTGGAAACTCATATAAAACTGTCTAGGAACAATATTAAAGAACAATTTAATGTTTAAAAGAGAAAGTGTAGCTTATCATTATATTTAACTAAACCCCTTAAATTAAAATAACAGATAAATTAATTATCAATGCTCTTTGTGTGCATTACATGTGGGTTAAAAATAGAAATTCTGTTCATTTGCAGGTAGTTTAAATCGAAATAAAAATTGAAAAATAAATAACTAAATAAATCAAACATCAAAGACATTATTTAAAATTTTATAATTTGTATAACACAATTGGCAAGCGTGTACTTTTTTTTAACTTAAAACAGTGATCCAGAGATAAAAAATTCCGCTAAAATATTCGAAAGGAAGTGCGCACCAATCCCTTAAATTTTTTAAAAAGTAGTTTTATTAATTAATTTACAAAAATATATGTGATTCGTACATTTTATCACTTTTGGTAGTCATGGATATATTAATTTTCTCAGCATCAAGCGTATCTTAGAGCGAATTTGTCACCACTGTCACCACTTTTAATTTTAGAAAAAGTATTATAATTTTTTAAGCGAATTGTTCATCATTTCATTAAGTAAGAATTACAAATTTAAAAAATAGTCAATACTATTAACAATACTTTTATTAATACTTTTAACAATATCAATTATTACGGCTTACGTTTTTTTCACTGTTAAATAAAAAGGAACAAATGATAAAAATTTGAATTAAGCAAACCAACTCGTCTATCACGTATACAGAAACTATTTGTAAAGATAAAAATTCGGATAAAACAGACCAACTTGCATAGCACATACACAGAAACAAAATTATAAATGCTAAAAATTAGGATAAAATAGAGCAACCTGCCTAACAAATGTATCAAAATAAATTATAAAAATAAATAATAAAAATTAAAATATAGTAGACTAATTTGCCTATACAGAAAACAAATTACAAAACTGAAAACTAAGATAAAACAGACGGAAATGGTTAACAAATACTTACGATTAAATTGTAAAAGTGACTGATAAAAATTAGAATAAAACCTGGTATACCAAGTGCAAAACTTAAAAATAAGGCGAAACAAATCTACTTTTAAATTTAATGTAAAATACATAGGAACTCGCAGAAAAAGTAGATAGTAAAAATATCAGAAAATCGAACTGACCTTGCTAACGTCAAAATCCTTTTTAACGGTAACATCCGGGCATTCACCAGCGCTAATTCTTTGAGAAAAACCGACCGTCACAAACAACAAACAAACATACAAAACTAAATACAGAGATTTAAACATTTTTCTTTACTTAAAATTCTCAAGTAGGTCAATGTGAAAACTTTATTTCTCTTAAAGGTTTTATAGTAAAAAATCCTTTTACTGATAATTGTAGGAGTTTTATCAGTTGAGGAAAGTAAATAATCGCATAACACGTCCATTGTTTTCATTCTTCGATAAAGCTTTTGTTATGAAATGTAATTTTCTTGTCATAAATGTTTTCAACATGTTATATAAAGGTTTAATTATATAACAATTAGAGATATTTCACAATATTACTTACAGCCTAGAACGTTACGGTTTAGTTCATTATATAAGATTCAAGTATTCTTATTAAATGACATTTTGTAATTTGTTTTCTTCATTTAAATTCTAAAAACAATAAAAAGAAACATAAAATGTTATATAAATATCGAAAATGGCACGTGTTGGCGAAATTTTATCTACAAACAATGATTCAAAATTTTTGTTTATCCAAATCTTTAAAAAGCTTATAAAAATGCAAAATTCGATTTTTTTTTTTGTTGAGAAATTGAGATATTTACATTGTGAAAAACGAATAAAAATGTAAATTGTTGATAAAACTATGAAATGAACCATTTATCTCATATTACTTTAAATGTAAACAGAAGCAGAACAACATTTTTACTAAATTATGGTTTCACTAAAATCAAAAATGCTTTAGAATACATATAAAACACAACGGTTATGGCTTGAGGTAATATAATGGAAAACCGCACTTTTTTATACAATATTGTAAAGTGTTCTTGGTGAAAAACAAAGTAATGTATAGTACGTAAAAAAAAGAAAGAAAAAATACTACCCTGAATAACTTTGTCTCTAAGAGTTAGATCTTCACGTTCTAGGACTCAATCTTAATGGTTCGATAGGGTGACTTCCAATATGCTAAATAGTTAGTGCAGACGATAATTTTAAGATACGAAATCAGACACAAAAACGTACTTTCTCCGAATAAACTCCTGTTTTTTTCCTGCTGTGTCGCAATCTGGGAAATATAGTCCCAATAGTTTGATCAGGAGAATGGTCCAAAGCTTGGATCCCTTTATGTTAATTTTTTACTTTGTGTATTTCGCCACAGCTCAAGAATTTTTAAGTTAAAAATTTTTGCGCAAAATTGTAAAGTTCGTTTATTTAAGGATCAATCCATGCGAAAAATAATTTTTAGTTAATATTTATTGTTTATTATATTTAGTAATAGTCGAAAAAATTTTGTGAGGTAAGGTATACAATTTTTTTTAGCATCATTTTTAAAGAATGTAAGTTTAGATCGCAAAAGAACAAAATATGAGCGAAATCAGACAAATAGTTCCTGAGATAGAGATCTTAAAAATAAGTTTTTTTTTCCCTTTATTTTTGATCAGTGTTCCAATCATATAAAGAATTAAGAAAGATAATTTAGACAAAGAAACATGAGATTTGTAAAAACTTTTTAGATTATTTCTTTGTCTAAATTCTCTTTCTTAATTCTTTATTTATTAAGTGCGAATCCCGTTCACGTAATTAATAATTCAAATCCTCTCCTAAAAATAAATTAAAGAATGCATAATTATCATTTTAAGTTTTTCCCTTATGCAAGCGTGAGAACCTGAGAATTCCTTTGATCTATTTTATGAATGAATTACATTTAATAACGTTCCCCCTTTTTCATATGACTTGGTAAACGATAAGGAATATTTGTGAAACTTTTCTCTAACATAAAACAGTGGAACACGGCAATTTTAGTTTGATTTGGATTCTCACTTTCTTAGCAATGCTTAGTAAAATTTGAAAAAGTAGTAAAATTAAATAAAGAAATTTGTGTTCTCGCCCACCTATACTTACTTTGATTCCATATATGATATTTGAAAAATGAATTTTTTAACTGTACTGATGATACAAACAGTAAATTCAAAAATAACAATCAGTCAAATCACTTAATACTAAAAGCATGAAGGGATTGGAATTGGTTATCGAACCCAAACATAGGATTGATAATTACATGTTAAGCTTTGCATAAACTTTTAGATTTGTTAATGTTAGCTTAATGTCCCTTTTTTTCTTTTGTCATTTTTGCACTTAACATTATTTTGAGAAATAAAAATCTATGCTATCTTTCAACGATACAAATAGTTCTTAGAATCTAAGATAGATAAGATAATGAAAGTTCACTTGATGTCTTTTTCGTCTTTTGACCCTTTTGCATTTAATGATTCTTCTAATGATTTGTAGCAACAATACAGTTTCAAAATTAAAAAAATAGATACGTCAATGGCAGCTTATTTGATGTCAATTTTACTCCTTTTTCATTTAATAATACTTTTGAGAACTATGTTTTTATGAATCAAAGATATCAGATTATTATCAACGCTACAAACAGTTTCCAAAATCTGGGATAGATATATTAGTGCGAGCTCACTGTAGTTATTATTGAAGGGTTTTTTTGTCCCTTGAGCAAATAAATAAACAAATAAATAATTCATATCATATAATTTTATTTTTGAAAAATTTATTTCCATGTTTTGTGCCAACGATACGAACGTTTTCTGAAGATATGTTAATAAGAGCTCACTTTATGTCACTTTTGTCTTTTATCACTTTTGCACTTAATGTCACTTTTAAGAAACATATTTTCATGATACTAACGATACAAACCACCAACAATTCAAACAATTTTAAAAATCAAAAATACATACGTTAATGAAAGCTTACGCTGTACTAATTATTTGTTGAAGGGCCTTTTATCGCTTTTGTACTTAATTTTAATTTTTTGAGAAATGTTTTATTTTATTTATTTTAATTTTTTTTTTTTGTGTCAACGACTTAAGTAGTTTATTCAAGAATATCAGTCAGTGTAATTACTTAATTCTGAAGTATGAAGAGATTGTTCAAACCTAAATACAACTATTGAAATTCTAGAGCTGTTCTCGAGATATGAGGATGACTGGTTACCTTAAATTAATGTCACTTTGTAGAAATGTATTTTTATGATTTGTTGTATCAACCAGAGGTAAGAATGATAAGAACGGTTTCTGATATTGAACATAGATATGCGAATGAGAACTTTTGTCTCTTTTTGTACCAACGATAAGACAGTTTCAAATACCAAATATATATATGAATGAGATCTCACTTGAAGCCAGTTTTGTCCTTTTTGCACTTAATGTCACTTTTGAGAAACATATTTCTGCGAAACAGTTTCAAAATTCAAGAATAGATATGTGAATGAGATCTCACTTGACGTCAGTTTCGTTCTTTTTACACTTAATGTCACTTTTGAGAAACATATTTCTGCGAAACAGTTTCAAAATTCAAGAATAGATATGTGAATGAGATCTCACTTGACGTCAGTTTCGTTCTTTTTACACTTAATGTCACTTTTGAGAAACATATTTCTGCGAAACAGTTTCAAAATTCAAGAATAGATATGTGAATGAGATCTCACTTGACGTCAGTTTCGTTCTTTTTACACTTAATGTCTTATTGAGAAACATATTTCTACGAAACAGTTTCAAAATTGAAGAATAGATATGTGAATGAGATCTCACTTGACGTCAGTTTCGTTCTTTTTACACTTAATGTCACATTTGAGAAGCATATTTCTACGAAACAGGTTCAAAATTCAAGAATAAATATGTGAATGAGATCTCATTTGACGTCAGTTTCGTTCTTTTTACACCTAATGTCACTTTTGAGAAACATATTTCTGCGAAACAGTTTCAAAATTCAAGAAAAAATAAGTGAATGAGATCTCATTTGACGTCAGTTTCGTTCTTTTTACACTTAATGTCACTTTTGAGAAACATATTTCTGCGAAACAGTTTCAAAATTCAAGAATAAATATGTGAATCAGATCTCATTTGACGTCAGTTTCGTTCTTTTTACACTTAATGTCACTTTTGAGAAGCATATTTCTGCGAAACAGTTTCAAAATTGAAGAATAGATATGTGAATGAGATCTCACTTGACGTCAGTTTTGTCCTTTTTACACTTAATGTCACATTTGAGAAGCATATTTCTACGAAACAGGTTCAAAATTCAAGAATAAATATGTGAATGAGATCTCATTTGACGTCAGTTTCGTTCTTTTTACACTTAATGTAACTTTTGAGAAGCATATTTCTGCGAAACAGTTTCAAAATTCAAGAATAGATATGTGAATGAGGTCTCACTTGACGTCAGCTTTGTCTTTTTTATACTTAATGTCACTTTTGAGAAGCATATTTCTACGAAACAGTTTCAAAATTGAAGAATAGATATGTGAATAATATCTCACTTGACGTCAGTTTTGTCCTTTTTACACTTAATGTTACATTTGAGAAGCATATTTGTACGAAACAGTTTCAAAAATCAAGAATAAATATGTGAATCAGATCTCATTTGACGTCAGTTTCGTTCTTTATACACTTAATGTAGCTTTTGAGAAGCATATTTCTGCGAAACAGTTTCAAAATTCAAGAATAAATAAGTGAATGAGATCTCATTTGACGTCAGTTTCGTTCTTTTTACACTTAATGTCACTTTTGAGAAGCATATTTCTTCGAAACAGTTTCAAAATTCAAGAATAGATATGTGAATGAGATCTCTCTTGACGTCAGCTTTGTCTTTTTTACACTTAATGTCACTTTTGAGAAACATATTTCTACGAAACAGTTTCAAAATTGAAGAATAGATATGTGAATGAGATCTCACTTGACGTCAGTTTTGTCCTTTTTACACTTAATGTCACATTTGAGAAGCATATTTCTACGAAACAGGTTCAAAATTCAAGAATAAATATGTGAATGAGATCTCAATTGAAGTCAATTTTAGACCTTTTTGCACTTAATGTGACTTATAAGAAACCTATTTCTGCGAAATAGTTTTAAATTCCAAGAATAGTTTTGTGAACGAGAGCTCATTTGATAACAGTTTTGTCCTTTTTGCACTTAATATCACTATTAACAAACGTATTTCTAGGAAACAAACAGTTTCAAAATTCAAAAATATGTGAGTGAGAGCTCTCTTGATAATAGTTTTGTCTCTATAGCACTTAACGTCACGTTTTAAGAAACCAATGATACAAGCTATTTCAAAAATCAAAATTAAGTATGTG